CATAATTAACGAATTTAATTTTAATTCATGTTAATGTTAATGTGTGAAAATAATTTATATTATAATTCAATTGCATATGTATAAATTATATTAATTAATAATTAATTATAAATAAATGATAATCATTTATTGATGAAAATCAATGGTTCGAATTTGGTATCAAATTCCAAAATTTGATACTGGTATGGAAAAATCCTATCTCTTATGTATTGTCATAGTTAACATCTTTAATTGATAGTATTAAAATTATTAGCCTATTAACAAACACGTCTATATTTTTTCTTTGATCTTTTTAATTAATTACTATAGTGATAATTTTTTTACTAAAATACATTATTATTATTTATTTATTTTGGTAAAGCTAAAATACATTATTTTGACGTTGACGAAGAAGTATAAATTTTGCATTATCAAATTTGCTGGCCACAAAACCATTTGATACATATAAGAAATGAAACTATCGAACCATATGCCCGGCCTTTAGGGCTTATTGAATCCATAATGTGATTTAAGTAAGAAAAAAATGTGTATCATTTTGAAGGATACAAAGTTGTGTTATTTTAAGTAAGAGAACAAGATAAATCATAGGAGAGAAAATGGATGAAATTTTTTTAAAAAGTGTGGGTCTCACCTCTTTGTGAGAGTGAAAAAATATAAGGTGTGTCATTTAAAATGACACATCTTTTTCCCTTTGAGTAATTTAAAAACATAGCTAGGATGAATACCGGAAGCAAATCCCGGTGCTTGTTTCATGTAAAGTAAATGTTTCTTTTGAAGTATATTTGTTCTATGCGATTAATGTTTCTCATATTGTAACAAATAATTTTATCTCTTATACCCAAATAAAAATATGTGGGGCTATATAAAAAAAAGGAAAAGAAAACATAAATCACACATACTTTTTTTTTTTGGTAAATAAATCACACATACTTTGTATGTACAAGAAATAATTTCATCTTCTATAATATGAAAAATATTAATCCCTTATTTTATTTATTTATTTATGTTAGAATTTTCGGAATTATGCGAAGAAAGTATCCATTTGAAAGCCCAAACAAACCCATCTTTGAATTGGGCTCTATATAAAAGATAGGATCTAATGGTAATTGTGTAGTTATGGAAAAAAATGCATTTTGGTCCTCGCTTGATCGTAATTTTATTTTGTGAATTTAAGCCCAACACTCCATGAAGCTCAAAATAGGAAAAAAAATAAATTAATCTTGATTTTAAAGGGAATTTAAAAAAAATTAAAAGGCTTATTTTTAAACAGAAATATATTTTTAAAAGGAAAAAGTTCACCAATGCCCATGTGATTTGCTTCAGAATTACCTATGCCTTTGTGATTTTTTTTCTATCACATATGTCCATGTGATTTGCAAAAGGGTATGTTTTTTTATCACATATGCCCCTGTGGTTTTTTATTTTTTACAAAGCACATGGGTATATGTGATAAAAAAAATCATAAGGGCATAGGTGATTCTGAAGCAACCACATGAGCATTGATGAACTTTACCCTTTTTAAAAAGTAATACAACTTAAAAAAAATAAATTTTATCAAAAAACTTGAAATTTATAAATGAATCAAAACAATTATTTACATTGAAAATAACATAAAAATAATTAATCTATATCAAAATCAAAAACAATTTAAATGATCTAATTTTTATAATGATTATTTACTAAATTTCCTTATAACAATAAAACTCATTACTTATTTTTAAGATTCTTTTTTTCAAACACATCTAAAAAAAGCTTAAAACAAAAGAACTATTGTATCTCCAAAAAAAAAAAAAAGAACTATTGTTTAGAATCTTTTCTTAACCAAGATGGATTAAAATTAAATCAAAACGGCATTTTAAGTCCTACAAATATTTATAGCTTGATTTTCAAATTAAAAAATACATGAAACTACCAAGAAAAAGGCTTTTGTGAATAGTTTTTTTTCTAAATTTATCAACATCACTTTTATTTTAAATTTATAAATAAAAATGTATTTGTCCTTAAATTTTTAGAGGATCAATATCTACATATCTTTGTATTAAAAAAAATATTTAAAAACAAATTTTACTTGTGCATATGAGTGAGAATGAATCATATCAAGTTAGGTCTTACTTTGAGTGGGTTTAGTGATTTTAATTTATTTCAGAGTTATAATAGTTTTTATTATTATTTTTATTTTTTTGGAGCGAACGCAGATAACTTATTTTATGTTTTTTTATACATAAAGTTCAAGTTAAAAGTTTGACCTAATTTTATTAAGGAAAATAGTTATCTTATGTCACATAAGATAGTTGTCTTATGTTGCATACTCATAAAATCTTGTACCCATTTTTTATTTTTTAAATATTGTGGGCACCATAACTTTGTTTCACTCACATAAGATAAATATCTTATGTGACATAGTATGAGTTGACTTAAGAACTTATTTAAGACCTTTAAATAGGTTTAAAACAGGTAATGAATCGAAACAAATAGAATAAGTGCTATATATGTACCCAAAAAAAAAAAAAGAATAAGTGCTATATACCTTTGGTTCAAGTGAAAATAACCACTATGTAATTTTAAGATATTACAATGAAAGTTTAGTGTACCAAACTTAAACCATTTTACAATTGCAAATGTTATTCATGTGAAAAAGTTATTAGAAGAATCTCCATTAATTTATTTCACAACTTTCATGCTCCAATTTTTTCATTCACCTTTAGGGAGCGTTTGATAGAGGGAAAAACAATTATTCCATGTTGCGAAAATGAATTTTCCAGAAATGTTACTAAAAAGTTGTTTAGTAGGTCAAAATATTTCCAGTAATGTTGGTTCGAGTTTCCTAATTCTATATTGGGGGAGATTATAGTTACTACCTCTCTTTTTTACTACTTGTTACTACTAAATCTTAATCGTCAATTTCCGTCAATCTGACGGTTGTAATCTATTGGGTCAAATTTATTAATTAATTATTAAATTTCAATAAATTATAACCATTAGATTGACACAAATCAACAGTTAAGATTTGGTAGTAAGAGGTAGTAAGTATAACCTCTCCTTTCTATATTTGGTAAATTGTCAATGATTACTAAGAATGTAAGCTGATTTTTCGAAACTAACTTTTGATGATTTTATTTTTTTTAGGAGACAACAGGAAACTAAAATATATCAAAAAAAAAAAAACTAAGCACATAGCTTAGCCCAACGGACACCAATAGTGTCACTATACAGCTCTTCCCTGCAACCAGGAGTAGGAACATAAAAAACTTGCACTACCAAGGAGAATCCATACGAGTAAAAGGCAAGAAAGTCTGCCACTCTATTCCCTTCGTGATGGATGTGAGACATACGGACACACCAGCAACGATGTAACATGTTTCTAATATGTTGCACCAAGTTTGCTGCAGGATGATCAAGATGACTGCTGGGCTAATAGGGAATCTCCTTCCAATCACACTTGTCTAAATCCTTTATCCTAAGCCAATGGCAAACCAACCAAACAGGCCCACAATTCAGCATGCAAGACAGTACATGATCCTAAGTTTTCACATAAACCAAAAATCCAAGCTCCTGATGGGTCACGTAAGACACTACCACACCCGGACCTGTTACTAGTTATAGTCCCATCAACATTTAGCTTGACCCAGTGCATAAGGGGACAAGACCAAGCAATCATCCTCTCCACTCGATCTCTTGGTTGAAGCCCCACTACATGAAAGGTAGATGCTGCTAGGACAACTCTATCACAGAACCCCAAAGCTGAACGAAAAGTTGAGAAGACATTCTGGTATTTTCCTTCGAAGATCCATTTGTTTCTATCCCTCCAAATACTCCAGGCAAGAATCCCAAATAAAAGGGGCCAATCCGATTCTGAGCTCCAATCTTTGTTACTTTCTAAATTTATGTTGAACTAATCAAGCAAGTTTAGATTGAAGAATTCTCGCCATCTGTCTTGTCGCACCGTCAGACACTAGATTGATTTCCTTAGACTGAGGACAGTCCTGAATAGCATGAAGAGTAGATTCACTCGACTAGTTGCATCTAGGGCATAAATCTGATGCAGCCAAATGACGCTATAGCCTACGGTTATTAGTCATCAGCTTCTCACCGACCATTAACCAAAGAAACATGCACAAACTTTCAGATCCCTGCCATTTCCAAACTCGATCCAAGTGACAAAGTGGAGTAGAAGTGATGATGCGGTTCAACAGTGTATAAGTTAACTTTAGCGTAAACCTCCTGTGTGCTGTTTCGTTCCAAATAATGTGGTTTGGACCATCTTGCTCAGCGGGGGTAAAAAATTCATAATTCGATGTATTATGAAATCAGGTAATATAAGCTGACTTTAGTGTATAACTTTTGATGAATTTTTGAAAATATTAAAGCAAGATTCCTACACACACAATATTTTGTGGGGCTCACACTTTTTAAAGAAAACAAAAATAAAAAAATTAAGGCACGCAAAACGAATCTCTATAATATTACACAATCACTTTTCTTACAACATAACTCTTATAAAACCCTTTATAAATTATGTAAATTTTTTCGAGAATCCAATATACCTCTCACCTGGTGATATTATTTCATGAGATTCTTATTCCCAATTTTAATCCTCAGAAATCTCAATTTTTCAGGAAAATTTTAATAATTTTTGTACTAAACTAAACGTAAATAACTAAGATTTCCAATATAAATTTTATGTGAATTTAAAATTTATCTCTCTACTAAATTGCCACTTAAACACGTGCCACACCACACCCATTCACTCATGTTCATTCACAACAAAACCTCACCTTTTCAAACCCCAAAACCCTAATTTCCCCAAAAACATTGATTCATTTTTTTAAAATAAATAAATAAATCCATTTTCCCCACACCTTTTCTCTTTATGGACATTTAATAGAAGGGAATTTTTTTTTTATTCAGAAACATGTCTGAAAAATAAATTTATCAAAAATATTAGAATTGGTCAAAATATTCTGGAATATTGGATTGATTTTAACTCAACATTTTCTAACGTTTTTTCTACATTCTCCAGAATCTGAAATCGAATTCCTTAATTCCCTAGAAGACCCAAATTTCCCATTACAATCCTCAACATTTATGGGTTTCTGAATCACAGGAATTTTCTAGCAATATTCACATGGATCAACAAGACGAAGGGATTTCTAAGACTGCAAATTCGTATAGTTTCCCATCGTTGAACCATTCGGCGTGGCTCGAAATCAGGCTCTTCTATGTTAGGGTCTCGCCCTGCGCCACCGACCACCTCGTCCTCCGCCACCCCCGCCGCGAAATCGGGGCCTCCGTCGAGATCAACGGCTCCCGCGTTCCCGCGGCCGTCACCCTCCGCCGCGATCGCGTCGACCGGGAGTCTTCGGAGGTGACCTACGTCAGCACCGACAGCGTCCGCTTAACCGGCAGCGTCGAGTTCGAGGTGTACGAGGACGAGGTCTTGGTCCTGTGCGGGTCACTGGAGCGAATGGAAGCTGATTGGAGTGTGGATTGCCACGTGGCGATGCCGTCGTCGGCGGTGATTTTCCGGCCGAAGCTCGGCGTCTCGGCGGCGGCTCCGTCGGTGGAGGTTTACGTTGCCGGGTGTTGCTCCGGCGTGCCGGTGATTTTGTCAAAGACGATTCAGATGAGCCCGAGGAGGAGATTGGCTAGGCATGGCGTGCTTGATGCCATTCCTGAAGGTGAAGAAGTGGAGAAGGAACAGAAGAGTGTGATGATGAACGGTTTGAATCGACACAAGAACTCAAAGGTATTACCTTATGGCTACTCCTCTGTTAGTTTACTGTTTTTGTTTGTCAATTCCATTCATTAGTGAATTCAGAATGTGTTTGTGTTTGTGATGAGTATTATAAGGCTACTGGCATTTGTGTTCTGAAATTGAAATGATTAAATAAAAAGCAGAAGTAATTGGAAATCATAGCCCCCTTTTATGTTCATAGTCATAGAGTGTCGTTCAATGCTTTTATTATGGGGTAATAGTTTTCTTATCTAATAAGAGATAAGTATTATCTCTTACAACTCATTTGTGTAGTTGAGGTCCACTTTGAGGAGGAGAGAAAAAATAAATAAAGTGGGACCCATCTTAAATTTTTGTGTGTAGGAGATAAATTTCATCTTATGTAAGATAAGAATAATAAATTCTTTTATTATAATAGTGGTGTCGTGTTTACCAATTTTAATTTGTATTCAATTTACTTCATGTTGGCATCCGAAAGAAAAATTAATTTAAAAAAAATTATGGCCCAATTTTCAAAATAAATCCTTAAGGGAACTTTTGGCGGAGGAGATATTTTTTTTACCGGGTAATCATAATTATTGGGAATATGGTAGGAAAATAAGTATTAGTGGGAATATGGTAGAAAAGTAAGTTTGATGGAAAAGTTTTAAAAAAGTTGTTTGGTTGAAGGGAAAATTTATTTAAATAAAGTAACTTTGTCGTTGATTGGGAGGTTCATTTGTTTGAATTAAATTGATTGATTGAAACTGTTTTTTGTTGTTGTTGTTGTTGGGATTATTCCTACTGCTAATACAAGAAAGTGGCTGTGTTTGCTTGGATATATGTGCAGTTGCTTCTTCGCTACTTGGTTAAACTTGTTTTCCTGAGGCTAGTGGCATGTATTTAGTCAATTGTTTTCCTTTCTTTTTGCATTCAAGTATTGACACTATAAATAGAACCATATCTTCTGGATTCAACCTCAACCACGAGGGGAATCTCTTTTGTGTCTTGAAATTAGATTTCACCTCCACACCACGAAGGAAAAAGGCATAGTTTGATAGCTCTATTACTATCTATCTCATTTTAGGATTTATCTTATTTTGTGTTCTAAACAGCTTATAATTTATGATTGAAAGCTTAACAAGAGAGCTTTTGAAAAAAAAAAAAAGGAAATTTTTTTTCCCTTAAAATCAATCTAATCCAAACATGCTACTAATTCTTACAGTTAGATTCTCTTATTGTATCACGATCATTCCTCTTCCAGTTATATTATCACTTTCTGAATGAACCCCGTTAGTTGCATCTAGCATTAATTCTTAGTTTAGGACTAGGCACCGCTTTAAACAGGTACTATTTGGAGCTAGTTTGGTATCATGCTGATAAGTGAATAAAATGAAGTTATCTATTACTGGTAGACTCAAATCATATAGATTTCATGCCAATTATTGTGTCTATAGAGTTGCCTAATTGTTTCCTTTTTTCTGTCCTGAATACTGATTATTTAAGCAAAGAGGGCGAGTTTGGAACAGTGGTAAAACTATTCTTTTGTGATTGAAAGGTTGCGGGTTCGAATCCGAAAAACAACCTCTTTGCAATTATGCAAGGGTAAGACTGTGTACAAGTATTGCCCTCACTCCATTTTCGCTAGTCGGGGTTTAATGGGGAGTGGTTAAAATACTGATTATTTAAGCGTTATGGTTGAATGGAAGCAAATGCCAAATAACAGAAGACGTTTTTTGGGTTGTTCCCTATGCTTTTAATTTGAAACCAATGATTTGAGTTGCTTTATATTTATACCACTTCTCCGTTAAAACAATTGAAAAGAAAAGGGGAAAAGGGTTCATAAAAGGTAACTTTTATGTGCAGCCTAGATCTGTCCGGTTTTTCTTAGGCATGAATAAGTCTAAAAAATGTCTGAATTGAACATACATTTATGGCTATAACAAACCATCTGTTTAATTGTGTTCTGTTCATCAAGTAAGTGGCATTGGTCTCTTCGGCAGCATACTCTCTTTTCTGAACTGTGAAAACTATGGGAAAATATTCAGTTAGGAGTTTAGTCAATATACTATTCCCTACCATTTTCTAAACTGTGAAGTGATAGAAGAATCGGGTTAATGCTCTGTAATTTGAAGTTGTTTTATTAATGGCCAACTCTATGGAGCAGCAGTCCACCTGTGCGAGGCTTGTAGTTTATTTACTGTTGAGTTCTGCATCTGGTTTCACATAAGATTTGTTTCCTGTGCAATTCGATAGTCAATGTACTGCCAATAGGGCATTGCATAGCTACAACTGTTGAGTCATAGTTGCCTAGATAGACTGATTTGTTATGAAGAATGTTTCTGGAAACTCGTGTAATTGCTTTCTCTTTTTTGGGAGTGGGAATAGAATAGTTTCGAAAATCTGGTTGATTTGATTTTTCTTCCTCTGGATTCATGATGTTAGTTATGATCTTTTAATTTTGTGGTTGTCATCGGTTCTGAAATTCATTGTCAGCCTTTTGATTTTTGAAATTGAAAATTGTTTTATAGCTGATGATATCCTTCTTATGCAGATCATGGTGTCGGAAGTTGATGATTCTGAGTTTGATGGGAAGATGGGGAATGGTTTCTACTCTCAAGACATGTATCTGGGTGAGGATGGACAACTTTCCTGGTTTAATGCCGGGGTTAGAGTTGGTGTTGGAATTGGTCTAGGGGTGTGCCTGGGTATTGGAATTGGTGTTGGGCTGCTCATGCGTTCATATCAAACAACCAGCAGGAATTTTACAAAGAGATTTTTCTGATATGGTTTCACATTTTTGTTACTCTAGTTCATTGGCCAGTATAGGTTTGCGTGAGGTTTTGACTCTGAATATATACCCTTTTTTTTTATTGTTCATTTGTCTTGTAGATATCCTTATAAAAAAAGAAAAGAAAAAGGAAAATATAGATGATATTTTTGTTTCACTTGATGCCATTCTCTTAAATATATATGATGACTGTTCCTATGCAACACTTCATCCTGTAAAGTTTGTGCATATTTATATGAGAAATATGATGCCATTTGTTTTTTCTGCGATTTTGCCTTGATTCTTAAGGTTCTAAGTTGATTTTTTCTTTAGTGTTGTAATATCAGGAACTCAATTTGCTCTTAACATTTTAACTTACAATCTACTCTTATAACTCCAACCTTTTTATATTCAATCTTTCTCAACCCATTTAATTATTGATTACTGTGGATTGTCAAGGCCCAAAATCTGGTTCAGTCCAAAATCAAGGCAACATTGAGTTATTATAAAAATCCCGTTTTAGGAATGTGCTATTAGCTAGGTTCATTTACTTGCATTAATTTGAGCTAATAAATAATGAAAAATTATTCTCTTATTTTATATGAGAGTTATTTTATACTCCTCTTGTGCCGTTATTATTATTATTATTTTTAATAAATAATGGATTTCATACGAGATATTTATCTCCAATAGAAAAAATAGAACCCAATAAATTATAATTTCATTAGTGTCTGATACGTGGAGAAGTACATAATCAAATATAGAAAGAGTGTTAAATGAAATATAACTGACAAAGTGTAAGAACTTATTTAGTTTAAATTTAAAAAGATACTCATGAGTCGAATATTCGAAATAATAAAATATTATAAATGTTATATACAATTTTATAATACAATTTATAATGACAATTGTTTAGAAAAAAAAAAATCAAAAAAAGAAAAATGTTCGTATTTGTAAGTGCTTGAACGCGTGCGACCTCGTCTTGGTCCTTGGGAGTGAAAAGCAGCATAGCAATAGCATAACTGAGGAGGCAAGATCAGTAGAACTAGAAGCAAAGCAATTGACGAAGTAAGATCCAATCGTGTGCGGCAATGCCTCACAGTAACAATCCTGCACCTCCCCCCTTAGTGGTGACCCTAAACTGCATCGAAGATTGCTCCCTCGAACTCGAATCTCTCGCCGGCATCGCCGCCGTCGAGCATGTCCCCCTCAGCCGCCTCTCTGACGGCAAGATCGAGTCCGCCGCCGCCGTCTTACTACACTCCCTCGCCTACCTTCCACGCGCAGCTCAGCGCCGCCTCCGCTCCTATCAACTCATCCTCTGCCTCGGCTCCGCCGACCGCGCCGTCGACTCCGCCCTCGCCGCTGACCTCGGCCTCCGCCTCGTCCACGTTGACACCTCACGCGCCGAGGAGATCGCGGACACTGTGATGGCGCTGTTCCTCGGCCTCCTCCGTCGCACTCACCTGCTCTCCCGCCACGCACTCTCCTCCTCCGGCTGGCTGGGCTCCGTTCAGCCGCTCTGCCGCGGGATGCGGAGGTGCCGCGGCCTCGTTCTCGGGATCGTCGGTAGATCTGCTTCGGCTAGGTCTTTGGCCACTCGCAGCTTGGCTTTCAAAATGAGCGTGCTCTATTTTGATGTTCACACGGTACCTTCTTTTTCTTGTTCTTCAATCAGTGTTTTTCTTTTTTCTTTTAATTAATTTAATGTTTTTTTTTTTTTAAATTTGAAATGGTAATTTGTGTTTCACTGTTTGGATTTCGTGATTAACATGTCAATTGTTTGTGACACTTGATTAAACAGTATCTTCTTCCATTAATTTTTTTTTTTTTTTAATTTGGAATGGTAATTGGTGTGTAGCAATTTGGATTTCATGCTTAACATGTTAATTGTGAGAATTGATGATTTGTTGCTATAAATTCTCTTTTTGGGTGAATCAATGAGAATAAGGTACTCTGTTCCTAACCTGAGGCTTTATTTTTACTCTCTTTTTTTTTTTACTTGTTTCATAATTCCTAAGGATTTATTTTATTTTATTTTTTTGTTTGAATTTTGAAATGGTAATTAGTATTTCCTGGTTTGAATTTCAGGGTTCGCATGTTAAGTGTGAGAGTTGATGATTAGTTGGTATCAATCCTTTCTTGGGTAAATGAATGAGCTTGAAAATTTTCTTATCCAAAGTATTTTGGTTTTTATTTTTAATTTGAAATGGTAATTAGTATTTGTTTTAGTTTAGGTTTGATGATTAACATGTCAATTGTGAGAGTTGATGATTAGATGGGGTTTAAATCCTTATTGGGTAAATATGTGAGAATAGGATCCTCTGTTCTAACATGGGGCTTGAGTTTTGCACAGTTGGGTATACTGTATAGTCGTATACGTAAATGTGGGCTATTGTTGATGTTGATGGGAAACGGATCCAAGTTCTGTTAGGCTGATAGAGCATTCTTATTTCTTCTAACAATTATGAAATGTTATATTTGTTTGGGTTTCCTCGTGCATTAAGGTTTCTGTTGCCCTAACATACGTGCATATGTGTACACATACTCAATCAGTCGATTATCAGTAGCTGGATTCAGTGAAGGGGGTTACTGAAGATAAGGCTTGGTTATTGTAATCGTCAGCTTCTGAATGTGTCTTTCATAGTCTGCTCTTTGACTTGCATTTTTTTGTTTCTTCGGATTATTGGAAATCATTAGCAACTTTGCATCACTTGAACTAAGGACTGGCTACTGTGTTTTTGGCTAATTTTGTCTTTAACCTTGCACTCACAGGGAAAAGGAAAAGTAAACTTCCCCTCTGCAGCACGAAGAATGGATACTCTTAATGATTTACTTGCTGCAAGTGACCTTATATCACTCCATTGTGCTCTTACAAATGAAACAATGCAGATTATTAGTGCTGAATGTCTTCAACATATAAGGCCTGGTGTGTACTTATTTATATTTTAAAGATTTTCCTTTCAATCTGTTAGTTATTATGGTTTGAATTCTCTTCATGAATTTATAATGTTTCTATTGTTTTGACAGGAGCTTTTCTTGTAAATACTGGTAGTAGTCAGCTTTTAGATGATTGTGCTGTAAAGCAGCTCTTGATTGATGGAACCTTAGCTGGATGTGCTTTGGATGGCGCAGAAGGCCCCCAATGGATGGAAGCATGGGTATGGTACATTTAGGTTTTGATTCTTTGAATTCTTTAATTTTTAAGGTATGCTACGGGCATTCACAGATGTCTAAACTACTAACTGATTCTCACTCCCACTCTGATTATTAAAAGAAAATTTGCGTTTTTTTTGTTCAAATTATTGTTCCCTTCCTTTCATTATGGAATATTTCAGAGGAAGTTTTACACTTTTACCTCTGTCAAAAGAACAAAACTACCCTCCAGGATCCCTTACAACATCTTTTATTTTCTGTTTGGAGTAATAGCCAATTTTAAGCTAAGGTATGCATGGTCTTATGCACATACATGCAATTATTGTCCTTGCATCAATGTATTTATGTATTTGTGTGTGAAATCATCGACGGCTCATGGTAAACAACACCATGTCTGTGGTGGATACAGTGATGATTTAAGCAGCCATATTGAACATAAGAAATGACATCACAGCCCATCCAGAAAGAAATTAAAGACATAAATGATTGTAAATAATAATAGTGTTCTACCCTATGGATGTTTGGGTACTCCAAAAATAAGAAAAGAAAAGAGAAAATAGAAAAAAAGAGACCTGGTTCAAATTGATATAATCGAGAAGAAAGTTTCTTTATGGAAGTTATATCAACCTACCTGTCAGTGGTACATTTATACTTGTCTTTACCCCATCCACCATGTATGGTCATCCAGTAACCTGATTGGTCATTAACCAATTAGTGAGTTTTTCTTATGAAAAATTTCATAACAAGGAATTTGATAATTCTTTGTTGAGTAAATTGTTAAACTAGTCCTTAAAAGATAATGAATCAGTTATATTAGTCCATGAAAGATGGAAATTACTCCTAAGGACCCTAATTGTGCAATTCATTGGTCAAATTAGTCCTTGCATTAACTAGCGTTAATTAAAGCTAATAAAGATGTATACATGGCACGTTAAGTGCCATGCATGATGCACACAAGGCAAGCAACTCTCTTTCATCTCCCAGACGAAGTTATTTTATTGTTGAAAGGTAGAAAACGACATTGCTGCGTGTCACTATGTTTTTGCATAGCACAGGTAAGATCTTGGAGAGTTATATGTTCCTTGAAGCTCTCTTCGAGAAAAGCTAATTGTCCCTTAGATGCCGAGTTCTTCCAAGTTGAGCCATCTTGCTTGTCATCACTCGCCTTGGAACTTGCTGTCTCGGTCTCACCTGCATCCTTGTGTTCCCTCTTGTTTCTGCCTCTGTAGTCTGCATTTCTTTTCCTAATATTAAAATCCATCCAAAAAAGTGACATGACACTGATAGGGGATGATAGTGAGGTGTCATGGCTGGCATCTTCTGCCACCGGAAAACAGTTCCCATCTAGCATCCTAGCCATTTCACTTGACATGACACGTTCCATACCCACAATGGTGAACAAGCTGTTAGGCACCAAGATTGTCGAGTGATATCAAATTAGCATTTACTAGCTTTCATGAATAAAAAGGATTAAATTGTTGTCAATTATTCCTGATTAGTATCAATTAGCAACAGTATTTTTTGGCTTTACTTTTCTTCTGCATTTCAATTATCATTAATAAAATGATTAGATTGATATCAATTAGGATTAGCATTAATTGGTTATAGCTTTTTAGTATTTCAAATCCTTGTTATAAAAGACCAAATGGGTGTATGGAATATACAAGAAGAAATTTACTTCTTTCCAATAATTCTTTGATTCTCTTCTCTTTCTCCCAATTGATCTCGCCCTTCTCTGTCTTATCTCTCTGCGATTCTTTCAACTATAGAATTATCCTTAACAATTAGTGCTTTCATCGACTCTTGCCTCCACCGTGCCAACAACTTCATTCTCAAGAGGATGAGGAGCAATTGCAACGGTTTAACAACTAGCCAAGGCATTAGCCACTGCGGTTGAACAGTTACACAATGATTTCATCGACTTTCAAGCCAACCAACTTATAGCAGAAAGTTTCATGGCATTTTTGGACAAATGTGATCAGTGCCTCTTTGTCACTCTTTGACAGGAGCTACCAACACAACCACCATAGCCAATCGATCCTACTTTGGGCATCCTTGGCAGCGCTTCGCACAAGCCTAGACCTTTGGACATTGTGCCATCACATACACATACCATCCGCCTCAGGCTCCCGCATTTCTACTTAGATTACCTAATTGTTTGGCATTTCAACATAGAGCACTATTTTCAATATTATAAATGCACCTGGAGGATCGATTACTTCTAACTGCAATGCATCTCAGATCGACTCCATCCTTGATTACCAAGCTGCCTTCGAGAACCTCGCCAGCTAGGTTTGTGGACTCTTGCATTTATGTAATTGGTTTATCTTTGACTTGCTTAGGGAATCCAAGCTCATTAACACGTGGACTTGCATGATGCATTTGCATTTGCACACATGTATGAGTCTCAATTTCGTGAGCTACACCTCAGCAATTCACCATTTCAACTGCTGCTCTCAGCAACACTTATTGCCTCCCAAATCCTTGTCACACGGCTTCCCATCAAATGCCTAACAGAGGAAGAGATGTAGTTGCAACATGACAAAGGACTATGTTTCAATGATGAGAAGTTCGTCTGCAGGCATTGATGTAAAAGCCTGGTCCTTTCATATTTGGAGGGTCTTTCCTCCATGTCACCACCGTCTAAGTTTGTTGAACCTGATCCACTTAACCCATTCAAAAGCTGCCTCTCGACTTGAGGAAAAGTTGGATTTAGAAAGGGGGGGGGAGGGGGGGGAATGTTAGGCGCCAAGTTTGTCACGTGATGCCAAATTAGCATTTACTAGCTTCCATTAATATAAGTATTAGATTATGTTATCAATTAATCCTGATTAGTATCAATTAGCATTAGCATTTATTGGTTTTACCCTTTTTTAGCATTTCAATTAGCATTCATAAATTGATTACATTGATATCAATTAGGATTAGCATTTATTGGCTTTACCTTTTTAGGATTCCATATCTTTGTTATAAATGGCCAAATGGCTGGACGGAATAACCGAGAAGAGAATTACTTCCTTCCAATAGTTACCTAGTTCTCTTCTCTTTCTCATTCAATCTCTCATTCTCGCCTCTCTCCCTTTTTTTCCTTCTCTCTATGCAATTCTTCCAACTATGGAATTACCCTTAACACAAGCTCATTCAAACCTAGAACCAAGATTATGCAAAACTGAATAAAAATCCCATGACGAGAAGACTTGTGGATAAGCATAAAACTGGTCTAAATGATGAATATTCCATCATCTATATGGTGATTGGTGAATGAAAAATAAGGCACCAATTTTCTGAGTCAATGGAAGACAAAAGAAGAGATTATATGCTTTCAGTGAACCATGGAATTTGAAGCTAAGAAGAAGGCTGGGGTCTTAGAACCGGAGTGAAAAGAAGAAGGACGAGCTGAACAGGTTGATTTGAGGAACCCCTTCTCTCATCATGGCCACTTTTCTACCCTAAACCCTATAGTGAAACTAGTTCCCACTTGTGCTATGCAATACCAGGTGGATGGTGGAAAATGAGAATGTAATTTTTTGACCTATCAACACCAAAATTGCATCATGTGGGAGAAGGAAGAAAGTTGTTTGCCATGTGTGCATCTAGCATGGCACTCAATGTGCCACGTATATATCTCTACTGACTTTAACTGATGATAGTTAACGTGGGGACTAATTTGTGCGATACGGATTCCATGAGAGTAATTTTCATCTTTTAGGGACTAATATGACCGACTCTATATCTTTCAGGGACTAATTTGACTTTTTACTCATTCTTTATCAGAGCAAGAATGGAATGAATGAAAAACTGTTATAGGTTATGCAAAAGTTTGTCAACTTAATTGAACTGGCGTTTACATTTGCTACGAAAAACGGTATATTTATTAGAGTCTGTCTATTAGGGTACAGCAATGAGAGTTTTCATAAATGGATGATATTAACATACTTTGCCATATGTCTGCTTCAGGTTAAGGAGATGCCTAATGTGTTGATCCTTCCACGAAGTGCAGATTACAGTGAAGAGGTTTGGATGGAGATAAGGGAGAAAGCTATATCTATATTACAGACATTCTTCATTGATGGAATTATTCCAAAGAATGCCCTGTCTGACGTGGAAGAAGAGAGTGGGGTGGATGATGAAATCGAACAATCCGATCAACAATACAAAGAAAATGCTTTACAGATTATTGTTAGAGAGCAAACAGATGATGTTCCAGTTAGTCCTGAAAGCTCCCAAAAGAAAGGAGGTAATCAAGGGAAAGAGTCTTCATCCCAGCTTCAGGTTTCAAGTTTGACTCAGAGTACCTCTGCTCGATCCGAAGGAAGGCGCTGCAGGTCAGGTAAAAAGGCCAAAAAGAGGCATACCCGTCAGAAGTCCCAACAAAAATCAGAAGATTCTTCTGTACTGGAGAAAGAAGGCACATCTCAGAGAGATGATGCTGCTATGAGCGGCACTGATCAAGCTTTGAGCTCCAGCTCTGAAGACTCAAGAAGTAGAAAAACTCCAATAGAATACATGCAAGAACCAATTGCTACTCAAGTTCTAAAGTCAAGCATGAGGCTTAGTGGAAATTGTACTGAACTTTTGAGAGATGGATATGTTATAGCTCTGTATGCAAGAGACCACCCTGCTCTTCATGTCTCAAGACAAAGAGTTAAAGGTGGAGGTTGGATCCTGGATTCCATGTCAAATGTGTCAAAAAGAGACCCTGCTGCACAGTTCCTCATCATCTTCAGAAGCAAGGTTTGTTTCAAAAGAACTTTCTACTTATCCATGGAGCATATATTTCAAATAGTAATTTAGAGTGGTATAAGTTGTCTTAATTTATAATTCAAGTTTGATGCAAGCTAGCTGATATTTGAATGTTGATGTGTTTGCTTCAGGAAACAATTGGCTTGCGATCTCTTGCTGCTGGTGGAAAATTATTGCAGGTAGTTACAGAGTACAATGCTTAAGAGTTTCTCAATTTGATCATAGATTTTCCTAGACCTCTTTTTTTTTGTGAAATAGATTTTCCTAGAGTTAATTATTATGTATGTTATATGATGATTCTTTTGCATGCTGTATTGCAGTATTTGAGTAGTGTATTTTAGTTTAATATTACATTGCTAATACGATTGATGCCTTTAATATTTGGTTATAAACGTATTTTGCAGATCAATAGAAGAATGGAGTTTGTATTTGCCAGTCATAGTTTTGACGTTTGGGAGAATTGGACACTAGAAGGTTCCTTACAGGAATGTAGACTGGTGAACTGTAGAAATCCATCAGTAAGTTCAATATTTGACACGTATAGGCATAAAATTCAAATGTTTTCCCTTCCATCTGGTAACTAGTTGCAAAACGTTTGAGTTGGCTGCATATTTTGCAGAGGCTTTCCAAAATGGGCTTTACTTTTACAGTCCCATCTTTCTAACTTATTTTTCTTCAAAGCTGTTCTCATACAACATGTGTTGGAGAGATTTGGAGATTGTTTTTGAGTCCTTATTTTGTTTCTTCGTTTGTCTTTTTGGCTGTCTGGATCTTTGATTGACATCATGAAATTTCACTGTAAACTCAATTTTTTGGGCATTTTATAGACGATCTAGGTTTTTCCTATGAACAGAAGTCATGTCCTGACAAGGCATTGTTTTAGTAAACCATTAGGTTCTTTCATCAGTTTACTAGAGCAGGTCATCTCCCTTAAACATTACATTATACATATCTTAATTTCGGTTGCTTCATTGTTATATCCGTGTTTGTCGGATTGCTATGACAATATGTAAGTTATAACTTGGTCTATAAAATTTCTGCAAACTGATCAGTTTTTCTCTGCGTTTGCTCCTATTGACACAAACATTAGGCTGTTTTGGATGTACGCATCGAGATTTTGGCTACTGCAGGCGAAGATGGAGTTACACGTTGGGTTGAATAGACTAGTATGAAAAGTTTGTTCTACTTTATCTATGTAGAGTGATTCCAGTTCTGTATTACTCAAAATGGATGAGCTTGTAAATCATTTCTGTCCGGCGACTTGATGATCTTTCAAATGTTTCTTTGTGAAAGAATGGAATGTATTAATAGAACATTCTTTCTTTAGCCTTTTTTTTTTTAAAATCATTTATTGAGGAACTTTTATGAGATTTCATTGGAGTGATGATCTTTGCCCTCATGTTGTTAGTGAGATATAATATAAAAATAATAAATAGACCTTCACTTTTAAGCTTAAGTTGTTAGGGGAAATAGTTGTTTAATGGAATTAAAATAGAACAAGATAAAATCAAAAAATGGATTTTTGTAAAATTTATGCCTCAAGCTCAAAGGACTTATGCATTAGAAAGATATAATAGAAAAACCATTGATGATTTATCAAAAAATTTGAGTTGAATTGGAAATAGTTGCTTAATGGAATTAAAATAGCACAAGATAAAATCAAAAAATGGATTTTTGTAAAATTTATGCTTCCAGCTCAAAGGACTTGATGCATTAGAAAGATATAATAGAAAAACCATTGAAGGTTTATCAAAAAAATTTAGTTGACTTGGATTTGTACACATGTAATTTTATTTCGATTTTGCCTGTTGCACTTCGACCTGTAATTCCTTATGATCAAGCTTCTGAAAATTGAATCGGATATGGAGCCCATGTAGGGAACTGGGTTCGAAGATTTAATTGTGGTCAGGATGGGGTATAATTATCGGGAGAATGATATCGTAACAATCAATTAATGTTATTACTAATGTTACTACTAATCAATTTTACTGTTAGATTGATTATGTTGATTCAACGGTTATATTTATTTTCATCTTTGTATGGTTATGATTTCCCATATTTAAAGTGAAAACATTAAATATGAGAAATCATAATCATACAAAGGTAGAAATAAATATAAAATATTAAATATGATGAATCATAACCATACGAAGATGGAAATAAATATAACCATTGATCAACATAATCGATCTAACGGTGAAATTGATTGGTAGTAACACTATTTAATTGTTAGAATATCTTATCCCAAAATTATTATGTAATTTTATTCCAATATAATTTAATAAGATTTTAAATACTTGTTTTTTTCTCAACAAAATTAGCATATTATTCTATTGCAAAAAAAAATAAAGCATATTATTCCATTAACATTAAACTCGATATGTAAAATTAGTTTTGACTTCAGAGTAAGATTTTTAAGTTTTATTCCTCATCTCAATCATTAATTTCTGTTCATTCAATTGTTGTCATTATTTGAAATTAATAGTTAATTAATTAATATAACTGAATATAAACTATAACCATTGAATGGACGAAAATCAACAATTAAAATAATAAGTAAGATTTAAAATCTTACTCGGAAGTCAAAATCCCCATAAAAGTAGTATAATAAATAAATTTAACGTGATACAATATAGCGTGTAAAAGTATCTAGTGAACATCTCAAAGCAGTGTGCAAGTGATATATAACATTAATAAAACCAATACTAAACAAAGGCAAATCCATTGGACGGGTTAATGTATAGTAATATCTCATTAGTCACCGTAGGTACTTATCAAAGGGCAAATTGCCGTGCACAAAGTTTATCGACTTGTGAGGAGAGAGATGAGTGTCCATTGTATTCAATTTTATTCTTATATATATATATATATATATATATATATATATATATATATATATATATATATTTTTTTTAATAGAGAAAAATGTGTGTCCTTTAAAAGAACACACACGTATAAGTTATATCCTTTTAAGAGAGATAAATGAATAAACTATGGGAGAGAGAGTGTGGAAGAAAAAATTTGTAATTTAAAATTTAAAAAAACACATTACATTCATCTAAAAAGACCATCCTTTTAAATAATAGACATTTTTCCGTTTTTAATAATATCGTTTCTCATGCTCAAACATATAACATTTTAATCATAAGAAATAACTTCATCACTACTTCAAGGCTTATTTATCCTCACAAGGAGTAACCCTTCGTCACAATAGATACTTATCAATCAAACTAAAATCACATACTATATTTACTCTTAAAAATCTCACACAGAATTAATGATAGACAAAAACATGTTAGACAAGAAACTATTCTTACTCCAGTATATTGTGTAAGGATTTAGTATTATTTGTTCCAAGAAGATATATACCTTGTATTCTTCTAATATTAATATAACTCAATCTTATGTGGAATATGAAGGCTTTATCATATGCTCTCACTGTGGGTGTCACGGCCATGTAACCAGCGATTGTAAACTTGGGAACCTTGCTATGCCTTATCGTACACAAGCTACTTTTACTATCTCTACAATAGAATTTTTTTTTCCCCCAAGCTGTAAATGTAGTGCAATTTATGCTAGTCTGCAAGTTTACAATCGAAGGCAATTGAAAGCTATGATATGTATGGAGTCCAAGCTGTAACACTGATGTTAAAACAGAATTGGAAGACAATTGAAGGCAAGTTCTCACATTCAGAGAAATAAAAAGTAGAAACTTATTTATTTTATGGGAAGGATATACTTACCACAAAAAAATTTTATCACTTTTACAACTAACTTAATTACCGTTGATTTCCGTCAATTTAACGGTTATAATTTATTGGAAATTATTTGGTAGTATTTATTAATTAATTATTAATTCCGAATAAACTTAATAAATTATAATCGTTAGATTGACAGAAATCAATGGTGATTAAATTGGTTGTAAATGTGATAAACTTTTTTGGTGATAAATATATCCTGCCCCTTTATTTTATGGGGGAATAACTTCTCACGTTATAAGAGAACTATTCCAATTTTTGGTGGTAAGTACATATTTTGTTGCTGGAAACTTCATAAGGTGTAAGGCGTAGGTCTGGGAGACTGGGGCTATAGATTTTTGGCTCTAACATGGCACTTCGTTTCATAGTGTAGATTATGTCAAATTGATCTTGATTTTTGACATTATGATATGGAATTTCTGATATTGAATGCTCTTCTGTGGCAAGAAAAAAAAAAGGGTTCAATCATATTGTTTATATTTGCCTATAGTTTAGTGTTGACAATGCACCATTATTTAAGGCTGTCAATAATAAAACAAGCACTGTCTAATTCTCATTTCTGAATTTGTATATTATATCTGATCTCGCAATCCTCAGCAGATAGTGGACATTATTCCCTTGAAAGAGCAATTCCTTAGCACCATGCTTTTTTTTTTTTTGAAACTGATCATAATTATCTCTTTGAGGCGAATCAGAATCTCCCGGTATCTCTACAGGTTCGACTCTTTGAGCCGTCTATGGCACTAATCCAGAGTTCGGGTGCGAGTCCAAGGATTACGGTACTTATGCCCCTCCCCAGATGGTGTTGGTGGAATTTGAACTGAGGTCCTCTCCCACCACTCATGCACCATGCTTTCTTCATGTCCCATGATCACATGTACATTTCACATGCACACTCATATGCAAAAGTGCAAAAGATAGCCAGTCAGGAAATTAAATGACAGATGAATTTTTGAAGAGTTTGTATAGTTCTTCAGCTGCATTTTTCCCAATATTCTGTCAAAGATAGGGTGTATTTTCAAATTTAGTGTATGCATTGCTCCGTTTCTTTTGCTAAAAGTATTTTCTTATCATTTGCTGAACAAAATCATGGCAACATTTATTGCATTTGACTTTTCATAATATGGAATGATAATATGCTTAATGATTCACTTTTCACCAAACCTTTGAAATTCATGCAGAGGAGGTTGCTGTCATCATATGATGCTGACTCGGAGAAGGCAAAGTCTAGAAGTCATTGCAGCAAATTCCTCACTGATGAATCAGAGAGTGCTGTTCTATCTGCTTAGGGTGTTACCAGCAGTTTCTCCTAAACATAGATATTTTTCCAAAAACACATAAATTTCCCTCTCAGCTACCACTAAATAGTAAAATATTGGACGCAAGAGGGATAAAAGCAAAAGGTTTCCCTAAGAGAAGTTGTAGGGTGCAGATGCTTGCATGTGTATAAAAGTATTGTTGATGTTAATCTTACTCATGCATGTCCACACGACTCTCTTTTTTCCTAAAAGAAATAAAGTTAGAAGTACTTCAAAAATTTGAGAGTTAATGCATTTTCTTTTCTCACCAAAAATAGATAACTATTTCCATAAATGAGACTTAATTTAAAAATACATACGGGGATCACATTATGCACTTAATGACAACTATTTTGTTTTTAATTTCAGTTTTTGAATAGAAATATATTTTTTAATATATTTATGTGCCTGAGAAGTGTTAAAAATAATGTATTTGATAACACAATAGAAATTTGTTTCTTTACTTTTGAAATAATTACAGATTTGTATCGAATCAAAGAGATTATAATTAAAATTGCAAAATTTTATATTTAATAATTAATAATTTATTCCAAAGAAATATAAAATTTTATCTCATAAAAATACTAAAATATATAAAAAATATATACTTTTTTATAATATCATATAATAATTTTAATAATAAAGAAATAAATGATAAATTAATTATTATATAAACATATTATATGAGTCAACTTACTTCTTATAATATCAAATCATTTTTTTGTCACATTTGTCATGTCAAATAAGTTTGAAAATAATATATAAAATTATGTTTATATAAAATTTTATTTTTGTACCACTTAGTTCAACTTCTAGTTTTTCACCCTTCCACACTCTTATATTGTAAATTGTCGATATAGCATTTTATTTTTTTGTTGTGTTCTTCACATTCTATTTTTTAATTTTTCCAACAGAGTACCACACTAAGCAAACATCATAACAGAGTGGCTTATTATAACCATGGAACTGCCGACAACTTGTGATGGTCATAAGGCTACAATGGTGAAAGTAAAATATCAAGCTAAAATGTTAGGGTTCAGAACCAAGTAAGTATCTTCTATGGCACAAAACCTGCAATCAAACACTCTAAAAAGATGTTCCTATTCACCAATTTTTCTTTCAGCTTCGATCCTGCATCTATTGTCCCCAACATCAATCTTCATTCCAAAATTGGTCTCTTGGAAGCCCTATGATTGTGTTAACAAAAAGAAGGCAGCAAATTTGAAATCCCAGCAAAGTACAAATTGATGAGAATTCATTACTTACAACCCAGGCAATTTTGAAAAAGAAAAACATCATATTAAACCATCTTTCATGCAGGAGTAATAGATCAACACAACAGTAGGTGAATACAATATAGTATACACATCAACAATGATAATACACTCTATCTATACCCAAAACCTAAGTCTAGCTCTTGACCATACATCCCCTGGCTATGCCCTGAAGCATGCATTTGCTTTGAGTTTGACCTGAGCTCCATCTCAAAAAGCCTCTGAAGGGCTTCTGGATGATTTCTTCCACCAGCAACCTCAGGAGCTGTTAATAAAATAGCCAAAATAAATAAATCAGGAATCGAAAATATATCAAGAGACTAAAAATAATGATGAAAATTTGAGCATGTGATCCTAAAGCAATTGCAAAACAAGAAAAAAAAATAAAAATCAATCAACACATCAGACATGGTAACTTCCAAACAAGTGTATTACTTTAGATTACATGGCTTTGATTGATTATTGTTAATTTGTTACACAAGCTAGAAACAATTGTGTAAACCAGAAAAATGTAATAGCTAACAAACACTTGATCCGGTGGATCAGGGTGTATGTGCAAGTGGCATATGTACTTGATTATGTGCAAGTGTGCGTTGTGAGTTCATGTGTGCAAACACACGTTAGTGGATGTATGCATGTGTTTGCTGACATGCCCATGGCTAGGCAGAAGCACGAGTGATTGACCTTTCTCTATAACCCCTTAGCCATCAAGGTCAATGAAACACGAGCAAGCAGAAACTCATCAACCAGTAATACAGTGATTAAGAAAAAAGGAGGCTGTATGATTTACAAATGGCCCAATGATGAACTCATAATCCATGCTATCTTTAACTAGAAGAGTAAAATATTTTTGTTCAGAAACAACGCTAAGATCTATTAAATTAATATCAATCAAACCAATAAACATCAACTATAAACACCAAAATTGTGAACTTCGGAAGCATTCAAAATTGGATTGGAAGAAAAATGAAATAGCACTAAATCTATGAACTACATGGTGTTTGAGATCATACCCTGCAAATAATTTATTCTAAAAAATCTATTATAAGAGTCAATTTTCATCATTTTAAAACAATCCATAATTCATAATCATCCAAATAAGTACATACACTGAAATATTCTATGCATTCAAGTTGGCTACAATAATTATACAAAAGACAAACACATAGTAATGTACATCAAATATTGTTTTACCTTGCAATGCCATTCCAGGGCCACCAAAAGTAGGATGCTGGTGACCACCACTAAATGGGAAGCCTTGCATTGGGTTTGGTTCCTGCATGAAACCAGTCATCGGATTGCTGGGATGAGCGGGCAGAGGTGCACCCCTTGGGAATCCTCGTAATAAATGAGCTGGAGGAAGGTTCCCTTGCATATGCATCTGTTGTAACATAGAATGATGAGCAGGAGGATCAAACCCAGTTGGCCCACTACTTGGTTGATGGAAAGGAGGACGGATCATATTTCCCGGTAATTGATGATTTGGTGGAGAGTCATGATGAACCATGCCCTCAGGAGTTGGAAGCCTCATATAAGAACTAATATGAGGAGGATGAGAATCCAGTTGATTGAACATTCGACCAATATGATTCAACTGAGGGTGGAGCTGTGGAGATCGTTGGACATTAAGATTCTGGTATGGAATACCAGGTTCCCGCATATCATAAGGTCCATGAGGGTATGGTAGACCTTCTTGATTTCTCATAATAAGTCGTTCATCTCTAAATGCAGGACTGAGAGCAGCTAGTTTTTTAGTAATGTCAACTGATGTGTCGTGGGACAAATCTGTTTTAGCTGAATTTCCAGCAGATAAAAAACGTTGCAGAGGATCACCAACTGCAATCAAGCTATCTTCTTCAGGGAGGTGAATATCACGAGGCCCATTGAAACCACTAGCCTTGGAAATTTCACTTTGAAGTAGCGATGAATTAGCATCTCCTTGAGCATCACCATAGCCTAACCACTGTTCTTCAAATCTATTTGATTTGGGTTGTTGATGAGTTTTTTCTGATGGCAGGACACCGCTTCCATGCCTGTTCAGTGTAAGTTCACCTGTAGGAGGGTGAACATTGTCTGAGGTAGAGAAAGGAAACAAAAGAGACTCTGAAACATCAGCCGTTGCAGATCCAACTGAACCCCTTTGAACAGAAAGGGGAGCTCCAACTGATTGCAGCTCCTTCATAAAAGCTGTCCCAAAAAGTGTTTCCAGTGTCAATGTCTTCAATGAATTGGAAACATCTGCATTTCCTTCTCCTGGATTATCAAAATCGTTGCCAGTAGTGACTCCTTCAGTGTTGTGCACCTTGTCTGTAGAATCTAGAATAGATGGTAGTTCCATATCACTATGTAAGGTTCCTTTTTGTAACAAAGAAAGGAGGTGTTGGGATGCATGATTATCAATTGAAGTTGACTGCCCAGTCTTTCCATCAAAATCTTTGTCCTGCATAGCAGGCAGACGTGATGAACCATTTCCGCTAACTTGTGACAGAATCGACTGTTCTAGATCTTCACATGTAAGAACTGCCGGAACAACCTCAGGTGTATCACTCTTATATGACTGCTCAGAGTTATCAATAGTGGTATGTGCTACATTTGATGTCACATGTTCATCAGCAGGTTCAGGATTTTGGAAATTAAAATTAGCTGCAATGTGCTGGGTTGTCTCCACATCAGAAACCTGCAACCCACTTTTTTCACCACCAACAATAAGTGAGAGTAAGTCATTTGGCCTACCGGTCAGGTCATCCACTGGCTTCTTTTCTGCAGTAAGGTGGTGGGGAATGAAAAGAGTAAGTTAACATCAATTAGAGAAGTACAACTTGAAAAGCATAAAGACATTGAAGAACTAAAGAATCTTTACAAGTGTACCTTCTTCAACAAACCAATGAGCAAATTTGGAAGATTGAAAGGCATGTGGACTCCATGTCTCGTCTGCCTTATGATCAGGCTGCTATAAGATCAAGAGCATAACTAGTCAAATCCATAATAACACTGTAGAACAAAAGCAGAAAACAAAACACATCCAAATCACAATACATCTAGCCAAGTGGATAAAAGTATCCAGTTTTTATTAAGATATCTGTCAATTGTAGTTTCCCAATGTTTATAATCCCAAGGACACAAGGCAAACTTGAGCATAGATAATAAGTTCGGTTAACACTTTCTTGACATTATTGATAGGAAATTCCATTAGTTCCACATTTACCTCAACAATACTAGTTGGTTTGCCACTGTTTAGTGTTGAAGCATTGCCAAAAAGGTTGTATAGGATAGAATTTGAATTGTCTGGATTGAGAGCTCCAACGGCCTCCTTTCCTTTTACTTCAGCATTAAGTTGAATAAATTCATTGCCATCTGATGCTTCCAAGGCTTCTGAAAGAGCAGATCTCTTCCTCAATTTATCATCCATTCCAATTTTGAGGACGGAAATATCCACAGCTGATGACAAGCTTAAAATCTTTTCTTTCTCAGTGTTAATTGAAACATTTATATTGGCATTATCTGCTTGCTTGGTTGATAATCTTCCTTCTTTATTTTCAGAATTTATACTGAATACAATGTTACCTCTGGTATCCCCAGGCTCATATTGTTCTACCTAAGTAAGCACCAGAAGAATCAAAGATGTATTAAAACAGAGTAAAGGATAACGGCATATATTCATGATCAAAACATAATAAAGAACAATTCATTAACCAATGTTTAAAGTGACACAGCACCCAAAACAACTAGAGGTCATCTGGTGTCCAAATGTTATGTTGAGTAAGTGACAGCATTATATAGATTTAAAGGTTCAATTATTAAAAATTTATGGAGATATTAAGCTTTTATTTTCATTTTAAATTTCTAGGCTTTCTGTCTTTATGGGGAGAAGCATGTCTGCAAATAAGAAATAATGCAGTGAAATCCTACAATATCCTCCATATTGATTCGGCATCCAATAATCAAAGAGGAAAAATCCTAATCCAATAAAGGTAGAGACTAAAGACTCTAAATAAACCTTTCTGTTATACAAAATTTGAATGTTGAGATTGGAGTTTGGTACTTGGACATTATATCACAATCTAGATTCTTGTATCCCTCTCTCGTGCAATGTTGTCAGCGACAATCAGTCAAATTACAGTTCACTAACATAAAACATCTCCGTAATCCTTCTTTACTCTTCCTTAATTGGAGGTTGCTTGATAAAAAACTTGAAATTCACTAAAAAATATTGAAACTCAATATCTGCTGTTACGTCAGAGTCTACAATTTTATTAGCATCTTGAAACTCACCGCATTGCAGAAACTAGTGTCTTGAATTCAGCCACCCTTTGCTTTCAAACTATTGAACTTTATAAGACTAAGCTCACTCTTTAGACACCCAGGACATTATTTTATAACCACACTCTAAAACCATCACTTTCAAATGATGAAGTCCTTCAGAGACTTTCAACCAGTTTTAGGCCAGAAGAACAGTTATGGCAAACTAAACTACAAAATTTCATCCATGATTTCCATCTCAAAACATCACAAACTAAGGTCTTAGTTCTGAAATAAGAAACAGCAACTTTCTACCATAACTCTGAACAGTAAAAACTGAAATTCCCTCCACAAAGATATAATATTCATAAAGGACAATATCAATAATTGCAATTTAAAAGTAAAACCAAGTTGCATGCCTGATTCAATATTTCCAAGCAACTATTATTTGAGCTTAACATTTGAAGAATGACAGCGTTTATGAAAAGTTAAGCTACAAAGGCCCAAAATAAGATGTGGATAAAAAATGTCAACTAGTTACCTCAGTTGCATGAGTGTTAGAGGATGTTTTGGTGACCAAATTCCTTTCTAACATAGTGCTTGCAAAACCAGGAGGTACAATTGGTCTTGCTGCTGAAGGAGTGTGTGAAAGGGAAGAAGACTTCTCATCATTGCTTAAAGCTGCTGGAGTTTCAGGAGGCTCCGTTGACTCATTGCTTTGATTAACTAGCCTTTTCTCATCGTCGTCAAGAAGAAAAGCCATGTCAAAATTGTTCTTATTCTTGTCTGGGTTCAACTTAAGCTTTTCTTGGAAAGCTTTCTGTTGTTCCTTTCTCATCAATTCAAAAGAAGCTGGCAAGAAAGTTTTCATCCATTTAATTTAAATTCATTAGACATGAACTTATTAATGGCTCTAAGCATTAAGGTAAACAAGAATTTTAAAGCCATAAATAATGAGAACAAATACTGCCTACCACAATATATTCTAGAAAAGAGCAATTACCTCTTCTCTTTTTTTCCTCTTCTGCCCTGTCCTCACTTGTACACTCCAAAGAACCAAAAGTTTCATCATTAAAAGAGTCATTAGTCTCCCTACGCGAGTGAGGTGCCTGGAAAGCATCCCAAGCCAAAAAATGTACCAGAAATCTAAGTTAATAAAATTGTTCATGATTTCAATACTTTCCAGTTTCCATAGCATCACCACATCAAATGGAAAATCATACTTGAGAGCTGACAATTGTTGGAGAAAATCAAGACTACATGTAGCCAACATACAGCTGTCTGAGATATAACAACTACAACTAACCTTATAAGGGCGAGGAGGATGATAGGGCTCATTAGACCGATTAGGCTGGTAGTTGTCGTTAGCTCGAAACTTCGGAGCAGACAACCCAGGAGCATACCCAGAGGGCCTTGGAAAAGAACCACTACCTAGAAGTCCATCATGCTCAGGACCTTGCCAAGATTTACGAGACTGGTTGCCAATACGTTTTCCAGAATCTGCGAAATGACATGAGCAATTAGATAGATCAATTACATAATATGTACCACTAGATTTAAGAGAAACTTCTACTTCTACACCCATCAATCCGACATAGATACAGAGAAGAATCCTATATCAGTCCAAATGATTGTAATTTGTAAAGCCAATGAAGATTCTTTGGTTTTTGTGTGTGTGTGTGTGTGTGTGTGTGTGTTGGGGGGGGGGGGGGGGGGGGTGAGCATTCTTGTTTTAAACACCTGAATCCCATTCAGATTGAGAATCACTGTCTCTATCAGATCGTCCAGAAGAACGAGTTTCCCATTTTCCATGGATTCCCCGCGAAGTGCTATTCATATCCCCTCTGGTGGGAGGGGATGAACCATATTCAGTACGTCTGAAACTATGCATTGACAAACCACCTGTACTTCTCTGTCGATCTTGGGAAGCATCTTCGAATTCACTGTTATCCAAAAAAAAGGGGGGAACAAAAATTACAAATTAAAGCAAGGCATAACACAATAATGGAAGAGCACAAATTGAAAGAAAAAAAAATAAAATATATATATATATATATATATAAGATACTGAAAAAGCAAAATGCAGCATTCCAGCATTCACTATTTGAGGTAGAGACAGATGATGCATCATAGCATACTTTACCTTAAAAGTGATCGATCAAACTCACTGGGCAACTCTTTGCATTCATCCAATCCACTTAACGATAATAAAAATTCTCTTGTGTATGAAATTTTTAACATCCTGAACCACCACCAGCAGATAAGTGTTATAACATGTAACATTTTGATGAAAAGCATTTATAAAAAAACAAAAATATGATCAAAGAAGAAAGTTTACTTTTGCACTCCATGATCAGTTGCCTGATCCAACAAGTTTTGATCTTCGTTTTCTAAGCTCATTTTTGTTCTCTCCACCCAAGAATTATGCTGAACAAAGTTTATGAACAATGCCAAATATTTCCAACCGATGAAGAATGCAGTGTATCAACCACAAAGAGCACTAGTCATCAATTACACGATTCATAACACAAGTATCAACCGCTCATGAGAACAACAACCAAATACTCTTCTGCACCCAACACCAAACACAGTAAAGCACATAGATAAAACCCCAAATATCATTATTCTAGTGCAAGCACGAGGTCAATCCCTGCTCATCCATCATCACCAACTTCTACAAAACCTGATACAAAAAATCTTCAAAGCTACCAAAACCCAAAACCTAGAACCAATACATACAAGCAATTCCACTCACTGATCCAGCTCAATCAACAAGACCCACCATCCAGAACCATCCCAAGATTCATCCTTTATGAAAAATGCGCAATACCTATCACCTAAAGATTTGAAAAACACTCTCTCCTTCAATGAAATTCGCGAAAGAGACGCGTAGAAAGATATATACACTTCATCGCCCCTTGAGCAAAATCAGAGCACAGATTCATGAGAAAAAAAGATTCAATTCAAAAACTTGGGGAATACCCATGAGATTTAGCTCCGGGGAAAAACGAATGGAACAAGAAAGCAATGAGGGTTTGTGCCTAATCTAATAGCTACGCCATGGGGAAAAATGAAAACTAGGGTTTTTGATTTTTACAGAGGAACTATTTGGATCGAAGGTTAAAGAGAAAATCGATCAACGAAACGGTGTGAAATCATAATCTTCGGATGATTTTGCAGTGATGGATCGCGAAGGAGAAAGAGGAAGTGAGAGAAAAGAGAAGAGATTTCAAGACAGAGAGAGAAAGAAAGAAGTTACAATTATGGTGTTTTTATTATCCATAGCAACCAATGGCATGATTATAAATAAATTAGAAATAAATAGATTTGTCTTAATCTCAATGTTAATTAATTTTAGTATTTTTTTTTTAATTTCTCCTCCCCTAGAGATGTTCGCGGTCTGGATTGGATCGGTTTTGAAAGAAAAAATCATCCGATCCAATTCCCTCGGTTTGATCATGTAATCATCCATTTGGTTTGGATTTTTTTTCAAATCCGATCCAATTCAATCCAATTTTTTTCGGTTTGGATTGGATCGGTTTTCGGTTTTTTGAAGATTCTAAAATTTGTTTCATGATTATTGTGCAAATAACATCTTTTGTATATATTGGCTTTGTAAATTTATTTATTTTTAAATACAAAAGTATCAATAAACGATAATATAATTTATTTATTTTTAGACAATGAGATATGAAGCTCTAAATAGATGAAATTTTGTTGATGAGACGTGACTAAGTTCTTTCTTGGGTTTAGTTGATGGGTTAATGGGTCTTGAGTTTAGAATTTTTGGGGCTATGATTGGGGAAAGACTCAAGTAGGTAGAGGAAATTTAATATATTGGATCGGTTTGGATTAGATCAGTTTTTATCTACCAATCCGAAAACCGATCCAATCTAATTAAAATTTACGATTTTTTTCGGTTTTTGATTTTTCGATTTTCGGTTTATTCGGTTTTTGATTTTTTGGTTCGGTTACCGCGGTTTGGATCGGTTGATGAACACCCCTATCCTCCCTTATAATCTTATGGGTTTCCCTAATTCAAAATTCAGTGCGAGTCGAAGACTAAAATTTTAAATCCCTCCAAAAAAAATAATATTAAGAAGAATCGAATACATATATTCACTTTCACATACTCAACTCTATGATACGCCAATCGAACTACAATCATTTTTTAATACGATTATTACATGAGTTCTTGGCAAATATGGCAGCATTTAATTTTATTCAGTTAACGATTCTTGTGTATTTTTAATATAACATGTTTAATATATACTTGATAAAGTATTTATGGTTGGTTTGACCCAACAAATATAATTGGATTATTTAGCTTGGTTTTTAAAAAATAATAATAATCTAATATAAACAAATCTCACCAAGATTATGTCAATTTGGCTTGTGCCATTGAATTAAAATAAAAACAAATCTCACCAAGCAATTTCAACGCTAGTTAAACAACTCGCTTCAGCGAGCTCCACACCGAGGAGTGGCTGATAGGAGTCTTTTACATAAAATCCCAAATCTTCACTTACTATACCATTTTAAAAGTGTGCTTTCCTTATAAACAACACTCCACATTTATTTAACTAAGCATTCTACTTAATTCATCTATAATGTGCATGATTAACATTTAATCTAATTGAATTAAGCCTCATGCATGATTAAGTAATTAATCTAATATAATTTGATATTTTACAAATTAAAGTTATTATATTGCTCGTTGGAGCTAGCAACATAGCAAGTAAAAATGGTATGCTCGTTGCTAAGAGCAAGCCAACAAGGAAGCTTGAAAAATTGGCACGTCTCATGAATTGCTCGCTAGACTTGCTCGATGTAGTGAGCAAGCCAACGAAGGTAACTTGGCTTGATTTTTGTCTCTTAAGGTTTCCTTGATCAGTTCTTACTCCGATATAGTAATTTTAACCTGAAACCAACACGTTTTTCAATCACTATCTTACTAAGCACGAAAACTATAAATGTCTTTTGCATTTAACAATATTTACCATGTCTTTGTAATCAAAAGGACTAAGCCAAAAATAAATAATTAAATAATACATGAACAATATTATCACATATATGACACTATTCACATATATGTTACTATGCCTATAAATGATAATTATAAATTGTAAAATTCTAAATTTACTTAAATATAAATCAGACTATATATAAATTTACTATAACATAGCACACTTTTTTTTTTCTTTCATTCATTTCCAAAGGTGGTGAAATTGGGAATTCTCACATTTTCATTTCTCTCATTCCTTGTCGATTGCCTTTTGTATTTTTCCCCCTTTCCTCAGATATTACGTACCCAAACACGACATTCTTGTACCTTCCCATTTGATAATATTTACGGGACGTTGAACATGTTGCCACATTTACTCGAAAAAATTATTTAAATGCCATGTCTATGTTGCACCGACATTGACACAGGACACGACACGACATGACACGCTAGCATGTTAATTTTTAAAAATATCATATTCCGACACGTTGGGACATGTTTTGATATTAAATAATATTTTTGATATAAATTAAGTCATATAACAAATCAAATATTTAAATTTTATGACATAAATATAAACAAAAATAATTTTTCATACTTTGTTAATTTTTCATGTCAAATTTCATAACAGAAAAAAATTGATTTATAAATTATCTTTTCATGTTTAGTTAATAAAATAAATTTTAGTTCTAAAAAAAAACGTGTCAGATGCGTGTCGGAGCGTTGACCGCGTGTCTGAAACAGTTGACTGTATGTCGAAAAAACGTGTAGGAACATGTCAGAGCATTAACCTCGTGTCCTAAAATGTTAACCGCGTGTCGATTTTCGACATGCATTTTTTAAAAAAAGTAGTGTGTCCGTGCATAGCATTGCCATGTTACCGTAAAATTTTGCCTAAATGTCACATTGGCAAATTTGTTGCCAGTGACAACAATTTCAAATGTCACATGGCACGAAATGATATGTCACTAAATTCACTATCAGTGACAATAAATTTAGTCTACGAGTTTAGTGTATACTCGTTGACATTGACAACGAGTATGATGGCTTATCGTTTCAATACACGTGGCACAAAATTTTGAAAATTTTACCATAAAATTTTGAAAAGCCATAACTTTTGACTCGGGATCCGAATTAGGTATCTTTTATTTCACGTAACTTTTTGAGATCGATGCGTGGGCAAATAATAGGGGGATTTGGCCATTTTCCCCTCAAAAATGCTTCATTTTGCCGTGTTTGACATATTTTATCTTTGTGAATGACATTATTCAATTTCTATTCGTATTTTTACTCTCCAACACTAAAAGATAATCCTTCGAAAATTTTTCAATGCGCAAATATCAAAAAGTTACGTGAAATAAAAAATAAATCACCCCTTTTGAACACCCTAGTTAAAAATTATGACATTCTGAAAATGAGTTGATTTTTTAACCAATATATTGACAACGAATTTCTCTTATTATGCCCATGTGGCAGTTGAAACTCGCTGCCACTAAGTTTGTCACTGTGTGGCATTTTGACAAAATTTTGCCATAATGTGGCATTCGGGTAATTTTTTTTGGTTCCATTTTTCTCATGTTGTTACAGAGAATTATCTTCTGAATAGTAAATAGTTATATATTACAAATAGTAAATAGTTATAATGGTAAAATTATTTTACTCTCTCCGTCACATCAACCGATAATGTTTGAGGAAAGAAAGAAAAATTTAATATTATAAATTGTAATTATCTACTATTCATAATATATATATATATATATATATTTATATATATTTTAGGAGTAATTTTTTTTTTCAACAATATAAGAGAATGATTATTATTATTAGTATTTTGGGGAAAATGTGGCAAGTTGGTAAATGTCCCAATATTTACTCGGGTATTATCTTGTTTTTTCACCTTTTTGCTCCTCATTAATTATTTAATAACCATTTTGTCTCTTATTGCAAATTATCTACCAATCTGCCCCTCTTTAATTGATTAAATTGAATATTTAATCGATTAAATGGTCAAATGAAGATTTAATCGATTAAATCTTCAACTTAATCGATTAAATCTTCCTCTTTATCCGAAGAACATCCTTATGCATGGGAGATTTAATCGATTAAATAGGGAAATTTAATCGACTAAACCTTCAAGTCAACTATTTTGACCATTTAATCGATTAAATTTTGGGTTCGCTTTTTCTGCAGTTACTGCAGATAAGTTATCTGCAGTAAGCCCAATACGACGTCGTTTTGGAACAAAAATCATGGCGTTTTTATAATTTTAATTTATCTCAGGGTTATAATAGTCTTTGTATTTATAATTTTTAAGATTTCAATACTAAAACAACGTCGTTTTGGGAATAAATACAGATAACTTATCTGCAGTAACTGCAGAAACATTTTTTCTTTAAATTTTTGGCTTAATCGATTAAAGAAGAGCATATTGATAGATAATTCTGAATAAAAGACAAAATAATTATTAAATAATCAATGAGGGGCAAAAGTGTGAAAAAAGCCGTATTATCTCATTAAACCTTGTCAGTAAGATTCAATACAAGGGGCATTTTGCAACACTGCTTCCAAAATAAAAAACACTATCCATTTTAGCTCAGACAGTGAGCGACGAGTAACCACCATGGCTACCACTCCTTCGCTTCTACACTCATCTGGGTCCTCCTTTCTGGCTCAATTTCGTGCCTTTCCATCTCCATTGTCTTCTTCTTCACTGTTCCCTTATCGAAACAAGCATGGAAGCGCTGTGGTGTCCGTGAAGGCCACTGCTGCTGGGGCTGTTCTGGTAGAGAAGTCTGAGGCTGAGAATGTCAATAGGCTTAAAACAACTTACAAAGAGAAAATTATTCCCTTGCTTATGGAGGAATTCTCTTACACCAACATACACCAGGTCCTGCGAAAATTTTGTCACTTTTGCGTGATGGGTATTTCTTATAATTCTTTGACTTCGAGTTTTCATTGGGTTCAACAGCGAAAGTTCAACTCTTTTTTGGTTTTTGGTTGATGGGGTTTTGCAATTTTGGTATCATATGGTGGGGAAAATGTGATGGAGGCATGATAGGTTGCTATGGTTTTATGGGTTTCACAGTGAAAGTTTCATTTATTTTCTGTTATTTTTTATTTTATTTTTTTGTTATAGTTAGTGGTTTTTTTTTTCTTTTTTCTTCAATATATAGTTGGGAAAATGAGATGGGGCCATGACAAGTTTATTAGGTTTCATGAGATTTCACTGTGAAAATTCAGTTTTTTCTTGGTTTGGGGTTGATAGGATTTTTCAATTTTGGTATCATACAAATGTGGAAGATGAGATGGAGGCTTGATAAGTTGGTTTTACTTCAATGTTTGCAATGTTAGGCTTTGTTTTCCTTTGTTTCAGGTGCCTAAAATTGAGAAGATTGTGGTTAACTGCGGTATAGGAGATGCTGCACAAAATGCAAAGGGTTTGGAAGCGGCGATGAATGATCTAGCACAGATCACAGGGCAGAGACCTATTAAGACTCGGGCCAGGGCTTCCGTTGCCACATTCAAGATCAGGGAAGGTCAACCACTTGGGATTGCTGTAACACTCAGAGGAAATGTGAGCATGTAGTATTCAATTGATATTGCCTTATGTAGTATTCAATTGATATTGCCTAATGGATATATTTAATTGGCATTTGATTATTTTCTGAAATTGCTTTTGCTTTTGCTATCATGACTCTAGACATTTACCCAATGTAGACGATTATTTAGAACAATGTGAGTATCATGATGATGTTGGCTTCTGATAACCAGCTGCTACAGTGCTAGTACTTGAAGTTATCATTTTCCAGATAGTATGGTTGATTTGCTGCCATAGTTAAATGTCTTGGTGTAAGGAACTTTGATTAGTGCTGATATGCTGCCAGGAGACTACTTACTGTGGAGCATGTGGCTTCTATTTGTTAACTTGTCTAGTATGATGCACCTTAGGATCTTGTGTAAGCTTTTTTATGTATCTTTAAGAGAAAGAGGAGCGGAATGAAGCATGATTATCGGACTATAATTCAGTGGGAGATTATATGATTGTGAAAGGATTTCATTTCTTAAGGCATATTTGTTTGACCAGTAAGGTAGTGGTAGTTCTGAACTTTGGTAATGGATTCATGGCCAACTATAGAACTTGAGTAGTTAAAATAATCTTTCACAATTGCCTAGATTCCATACTTCTCTTGTGATTAGAAAGTAACTTAGAACAAGTAGCTGCAGTTGCTCTTTTCCCGCGAAAAAAGGGTTTTTTTCCTCTCTTTTTGTGTGTGTATTGTTTTGTTTTGGGGGGGGGTGAGGGTGGAGTTTTTTCCTTTTGGATAGGCTATACAAATCCTTTGTGTTGAATTTTCAATGTTACTTTAACAAACTGTGCTCTCACCAGGAATTTACCGAATGAGACTAATTAGGGAGTTTCCGAGGTGTCAAAAAATTTGAAACATCTGCTATATATATATATGAAATTGATATCTGTTTGAACTTTTTTATTTAAAAAATTGTTAGTACATAACAGTTCTCCATTGAGTACCAAATTCTAGTATTCCACCTTTCATTAAGCTCATATTTTAGCATATTCTGCATGCTTTGCAATGATGCATTCAGTGTTTTTATATACACGAAATCTAATACCTGTTGTTTAATTTTTGACAGGTAATGTACTCATTCCTAGACCGAGTTGTCAACTTGGGACTTCCCAGGACAAGAGATTTCCAAGGTGTGAACCCAAACAGCTTTGATGGACATGGAAATTACAGCATTGGTGTTAAGGACCAGAGTGTGTTCCCAGAGATCAGATCTGATATTGTTGGTAAGGCAAGGGGAATGGATATCTGCATTGCCACAACAGCTAAAACTGATCAAGAAGCACAGAGATTATTGGCTCTTATGGGTATGCCTTTCAGAGAGGGAGGTGGTCCTTCCACCACAGGTAACAAAAAGAAGAAGCTGAAATCTCATCATTTTGATGCAAAATCAAAGGGAAAAGGAAAGAAGTAATGTAATTTTAATGCAAAATCATAGTGAAAAAGAAGTAAGCTTGTGACCAGAAGAGATACTATGTTGTAAACTTAGTTCCCTTCATATGTAGTATTGTTTATTCTTTTTGTAAGAGATATGGATATGCCATCAACTGTGTCATTAAAAGGTTATATTATGGCTATGCAGTTTATTTCTAGGTTATTTCGTTTAGTAGACAATTGTTTGAGAGACAATGCTAGCAACACATTTTATATTACTCTATATATTATTAAGTAAAATTTGATGTGTATCTCACTAAATAATTAGTTCACTCTTTATTAATAGGTCAGAGATTTAGTTTAATAAAAAAAATGTTTTAAAAAAATAGTGTAAAAATGTATTATGACCATTTTTCTTTTCTTAGGTTATTTCTATTCATTCCGCAATGCGCAAACTAAACTACTAGACACTCAATTCAAATCTTAAGTCAGCACTCAGAAAGCCAATAAATTATATTCGAACCTCTCAGTTCGAGCGTTTCTTGATTCCAAAGACTATAAAATTTGGAATAACTTTTGACAATATTTATGTACCTTATATTGGATCTTCATCTCCAAATCATTCGGCAGTGAATGAAAATATCCTTCTCCCGAGTTTAGCATAAAAGCCAACTTTCAAACTTTTCATAATCAATCCATTTTATCATATCATTTGAATAGAACTCTAGCAAAGAACATGGAACCAGTGCGTGAGTGATTGATCATCATATTTATTTATAATTTAATGAAGAATAATATTATTGTTCTGTGGTTGTTAGCCTAAAAATTGATGGGAAAGTGAAAAGTTAAGGCAGAACCAAATGTTATTAAACAAATCATGAGGTCAGAAAGACCAACAAGTGCGTTTAGTTTCAAGATTTGGAGGTTGGCAAGCCGTCCCAGAGTTTTCATGATATCCTTGTTGAGCATATATGACTAACTTTCAATGTTATATTCACAACACTTGAAGGAAACTCCAAGGGAAGCTTGTCAAAGTTTTTTAATTTTATCGAACGAAGATTGGTTAGGCTTGATAGCTCTCTACACCTTCCCATTCCAAGACCTCCTTGTAATCCTAATGGGAATATGTATTCTATATGTAGCGTTTCTAGATTCCGAAGGCTGCATATATAAGCTGAAATATCTCTTTCAAATGTAACTATTTTCAAGTATCTCAGATGGATCATCATCTTCAAATCAGTGCATAGTGAAGTAAACAACAATACGGAGTGATTCCATAACTACTACTTCTTCCTCACTTTTAAATTCGCCTTCTCCAATGCCGTATCTCTCCTTGTTCTTGTAGATTTCATCAATACGGCTCTTGATCTTCTCTATTAGAACATTAACATCGTGAAGCTCCATCACGTGTGGTGGGAAGTGGAGTAACTTTTTAAAGACGTTTCTGTTTCTGTGTTTGGTGACATTGGAGATGTAGATGTCAATCACATCCTCAACTTGATGGGCAACATCTCTTATTTGGCTCACCAATAGTTTCACAAAATCGTTGCTGCGCTTTCCCTCGGAGCTCTTGAGGAATAAGTCAATAAACTTAAGCTCATCGGTGAGGGAAATAATTTTGTCTTCTAAACCAGAAAGTAACTTAAATTCATCCTCAAGGAGCCGTGGCAAGTTGTTTAGCAAGAAGCTAACAACAATATCGGCCATTTCTGTGAAAGAGGGTTAGTTGAGCACAAACTCAAGGGATAGAAAACAAAGATACAGGAATATGATTTGTTGGAAATAAGAGATGTAGAATGATATAGATTGGGACTAGAAAACTTACTATATACTTTGCTCTTCTAATACGAATCAAGAACACACACTTCTCTATTTTTCCTTCTCACCAAAACTCCGCTTTTCTTTTTCTCTCACAGAACTTTTTCTTTCTTTTATGCATAGGAAAACACTTGACTCTTAGTTACCGACTCTTGACTTTTACTTATTACAGCCACACATTTATTTGTTGCCTTGGACAATTTCTAATGACAGCCACATATCCTGATTGGAGATAAGATCAAAACTCATTTACACATCATCCGTTCAACTAGATTTTTGGTGCGGATGCATGAATGGAATTTGACTTTTTATTCCAAAAGTGAATTACATATCTTTCTAGATTGGAGGGGCGAAACTAAGAAACAAAATTGAGATGATTGGCTGTCCCTGAATACCTGTCTGATCAGCATCTTTTATAACCAAATCAGCATTTTATTTTGTTTGCGTATTTAGCCTAAATTAATAGCTAGTTGATAGCAAAAGTTATTGTTTATTTTACACATTGATAAGGTTATATAATGTAAAAGATGTATACATAAAGAAATTTGAGATGATGCCTTTTGTTTGTTTGTTTGCCTTCCTTTTATAGCTATTATGAAATTCAATCTATAGAAACTGTGGCTTAAATGTGATAGTTATGTTTTTCAAAGCTTGAACACCATGGCATGGTCTAATCACTGGTATGAATCTTGACACTTTTGAAACCCACTTTGATGTGGTAGAAAATGATAGACAGCAGCTTAAAGGATAGAAATTGGGAAGAGAAGTAGGATAGTTTCATTGCATTGGTCATTTGAACCTGCTCAAAATGTTCATGTAAGGGCATAATCTGGTGCATATTACAAATCTAAATAGCCAAATGCTAGCATGTGAGACATCTTTTCTAGGATTGTGCTTTGGGAACCATGTTTGACTACTGACTGACTTTTAACCTCATTTAGCTTCACTCTCTCAGCCATTCCCTTCTCCTGGTCAAAACTATGAGTTCTCTTTGACTTCTTTATATTACAACTTTTGATCCTTGCTATTGGGTAGCCTTAAGCACTAGTGTCATGAAGCCAGTTGGTAGGAACTCCTAAGTTTCAACCTCCATGACATTATTCCTTAAACAGTGCCTGGGAAGATTTTATTTCAAAAGCACTTAACATCCTTTTCCCTGAATTTATTTGCAGCATACTGTAATCCCACTCCAGGAACTAGTATTCTTTGGTCTGAATTTCCACTTTTAGGACCCTAACACTACATGAGTTTTGGTGAGACATCTGAGTCATGGTTGCTTTGGTGATGTATTTGCAACTTTTATTCTTCTTCATGTTGTTATGTGCTATTTAAGAAGTAACTAGTTTTGTTCCTGGGGATGGAAAGTAAAATCATTTGTGCCTACATTCCTGATATTTACTGGGATGTCTTTCAGAAGGACTACAATTCGTTAGCTATGAATAAAGATCCTTGGTACTTTGCTTATCACTAGTCTCATACTCCCTTTGCTGAAAAATTGGCCGCACTTGACAAATCTGATAAGAAGGAAGACTAGGGCAAGCAACCTACAGCTGAAGAGCAGCAAAACTTCATTGTAAATTAACTTGCAATGATTGAGTGCTGCAATTGCTGTAATATACATGTTTTGTGTAGTTTAGGTTTTAGTGATCATGCCTTGATCCAGGATGCAAGATATCGACGACGTTTGGTACAAGGTATTTTTTAGGATTTTCGGGAAACTTAATTTTTTTAAATTTTTAATTTTCGGATATTATCGTAAACTGAATGTTTTCATTATATTTCTGAAAATCGAGATTCCCAGATAAAAAATTTCTCCTCTACCAAACGCAGATGACGTTAGATAAGATTGCAAGAGTGAATGGAAATAAGGTCAAAACAATAAGTATACTTTGTTTGGTTATGACATTTCCTCAGTTGTTAACACTGTCACATAGTGCTTTGCTATAACTCCAATGCTGTATACTTTATTTGGTTTATATCCCACTTTTGTTTTGTTGATTATTATACTTTTGTTTCATCATACTTTTAAAAGTGATATAAATACCTTTTTAATTTATTATATTTTTAAATTGTTGCTTATAAATCTCTTCCATCTAACTTTATAATTATTATTTTCATTTGACGCCTTTAAATTTTCTTTTCCCAATTATCTGGAAATTCCCTTTAAGAAAACTGGACAACTGTTCCATAAATAAAGAACCCACCTTTGTTAGGTCATATCTGCTTCCATTATACTTCTAAGTTTTATTCTTTCACAAATTCAACCCAAACGACCTACCGCATTTATGTCCTCTTTACTTTCTTTATTTTTCCTCCAGTCTAATGTATTAGACTTTAGTGAGGCACTTAAGTCAATTATATGAATATGTAGTTGCAACAATTAAAAAAGATAATTTAACGGCTCCAAATCCTGCTTTAGCCTACAGATAATTTAGAGATAAGTGCAAGGAATAAAAAAGATTAAACAAGACTCGGGAACCATATTCTTTAAGAAAGTCCAACTGTCACAAGACAATACAACAAACAAAATGCCTTTTTTTTTTTTCTCTATTATCGAATGGTGCATTATGCTGTCTAATTGCTTTATTTTAGTGCATTTTTGTGACTTTGTCAGGACACAGAATACTAAAATAGTAAATTCTAAGTATACTTGGCTGCTTTACAGAAGAGCAAAGACTTTTCTCTGTATAACTCGGTGATTTTAACCTCATAATCCTATTTTACATTCTTAGCATTAAAAAAAACCAAAAACAAATAGTATTATTCTTAGGGTAAGTTATATTTATAAATTTTTTTGTTTACAAATTACACTATCTTTTTTTGAGAGAATACTGATTACACTATATTCTCCGAGAAAAAATAATGTAATTTCTAAAAAAAATTAATTTTTTTTTTTGTAAACGAACCTTCCCCTTATTCTTAATGGCAAAGTCACGGTGTTGTTTCCCAGATTGCCCGATTTTGCCACGTTTTCAAGTAATTATAAGGGGCATAATTAGAGGAAGATTGTAGTTTAAGTATCTCTTATTTCATTCTTATACTATTTATTGGGCGGCGGAAGAGGGAGCATATTTTCTGAGTTCCAATAATAGGTAATTCTTTATTTAAAATAATAAAAAATGAAATTCATGTGATATTAACAAAAGAAGAAGAAGGATAAATGGTGTCAAGTAGAGATTATTTTTTCCCAACTTTAATAACTAATGTACAAAATAGTCAATACGATGGGAATACTGGAAAAAATTATAAAAGAGTTAGATGGATTTAGATTCTCTCGTACGAAAAAGTAGTCATGTGATTATATTATTTGATTATAATTATTTATTTAAAAATATATATTTTTCTCTCTCTTATCTCATAATCAATAAGTGATTGTGATCAAATAATATAATCACATTACTATTTTTTCACATGAGAGAATCCAAATCTAAATCTGAATTGGATAAAAAAAAATATAAAATAGCAATATTGTAAAAAAAAATTCGTCCTATTTTTTTTCTCCTTTTTATTATTCATCTCCAATATCATATCATAGGGTCTTCTAAGAACTCTAATAGGAATAAATCTTCGGTGCTATGGATTCATTGAGTTTTCAGTGTTATAGACATACTGAATTTTTGGTATATCTTTCATTTACATTATGACACGTGTCTTATATTTATCAAATCAATATCTCACTTGATATTAAAATAAATTATTTATCAATAATTTGATAAAAATACACGAAAATTGAGTCAAACAAATTTTCCTCTAACAGGTCCTTCTACAAAGTCACGGGTTGAGTTTTAGGCATTTGTGATGTTTGTGTTATTTATAATGGCTGAAATCTGCTCCAATTAATTATGGTATTAAGTGTACTGCGAAAACCACCTACACCACTAATGAATCACAGAACAAAATATACATGGTCCAATTTTTTCATGTGACAGATATTTACAGTTAATGATATAAACCTGAAAGAGCAGCACATTGTAAGGGGGAGTAATTATATTATCGGAATTTTTTTTTTTTCAAATACTACAAGATATTACATTTGGTTAAAGATTAAATATGCAATATTATTAAATAAATAAGAAGCTAGTAAATAAATTTTAGGCTCTAAATGTTAATATATTTATTTAAAATAATTAATACTAAATTATTTAATTTATTATTCATAACTTTTGTATCAAATGAATATTTTATGACTTAAGTATCAAGTTTAACTTAGAAATTTTATCCAAATAGATTTCAATTTATTTTAAAATAAGATAGTAATATATTTTGTAAAATAAAAATAAAAATAAAACATTATTATAATCTTATTAAAGAAGTTAAATATATTAGCCATTATCTAATATACATTCTTTTAAAAATATAACTTGATTTTCATTGTATTTTTTACAAAAACAAAGTATAATGAGATCATATATTATTAGCTTCTTTAAAAGTATTTTGTTAATATGTTAGATTTAAAGTCTATTAATTCACAAAAAATATCTCAAATACAATAATTAAAGAAAGAAAATAAAATCAGACTGCTTTAATATAAGAATAAACAGTGGAGAATATACTGCCCAATTCCACAAACGTTGACATTTTCAACCAATAATAATGCAGAGTTAGATAACATTGCAGGACTCAGCAATTATGAACGTTAATTTTCTGTTTGTCTCATTTTTGTGAACTTCTCATTCTCTCTGTCATTTTGTTGGAGTTTTACATCAACATGTTCATTATGTTATTATTATTATAAAATAATATTACTATTATTATTATTATTATTATATCTTAATTATTGGTTTTTATGATTTGTTGAGAGAAATTAACTATTAAGATAGTAACATTATTTGGCAACAAAATTAAAATAATACATTTAAATTAAATAATTACGCATTTAATACTGTTTTGTAAAAGATTACACATCTGTTGCACAATGAGACGTCCAAAGGGGGCGTCTCATGTGGAAGCTATATATACCCCACTTTCTTTTTTTCACTCCTTACTCATTCACCTCTCTAACCGCGGTTCGTAGCGAAGCTCTGCCAACGTAGGTAAGGTCATAATACCTCATATGTATACATTTAAATTACAGTGCTAGTTAGTAATATATGTTAGGATTGATTGTATATTAGAGACTTGGAACATTAGGATAGTCACTTAGAAATTTTGTGGCATGCTATGAATGTCGTAATGACATAGTAATTTTATTACTACGTAGTTATTATTATTAATTTTTAATTATGCATTAGGGTTTAGCATATTAATTAGTGATTTATAAATAGTGTTAGGGACTTCGTAAATTTCGTATGTATGATGTTATTAATGCGGGAGTGCATAACTTTGTAGTTAGTTAGGTGTGATGATTGGTACGTATTGGACAAGTTGGTAGTGACCTAGGGTTAAGTATTTAGTTAGTATTATATTATTTTTGTCTGATGTATTATTATTATTTAATTACAAATAAATAACTGTTCTACGTTTTGGCGGGACTTCATAAATTTCGATTCTAGTTAAGTAAATAACGCATATGCTTAATTTTTGTGATAATCAATTATGTCACTGCTTAATTAAATTGTAAATAAAATGGGGCATTACATGTGATTAATTTAAATGTTGTTTTATATTATATAGTTGAGGATAATGGCTGAGTCATCATCTTCATCGGATTCAGCATCAAATGTAGAGCCCACCGATCCCAGCATGTGGATCATACCTGGGTCGTACAGATGGGAGGTCCTTCGCAAGAGGACGCAGAAAGCTCATATTTCAGAGCGAGTGTGGAATACAGAGCATGTAAGGAAAATTAAGACCAGGCGTGGGAAGCCACAAGGGGGGCCACCTACCGGTGCTATTCCACAGGTTGTCGAAGAGTACCTCAGACAGGCGGGATTCACACATGTTGCCAGGATGCAACATATCCAGGTATGTTATTTACGTCGTTTTGTATTTATGTAATTATTCAATAAAATTCGTTAACACGTGATAACTGCGTAATTTATCACAGATCCATACAGAGACCGAACCATCAGTACATGATTCTTGTTCGCTCCGATAACTCCAATCAATGTAGGAATAATGCGGAATTCCTTCCCAAAAAGGAATAACATATGTGTCACCTGCAATTGCGGATTATAATTTTTTAATACAAACTTACTAATTCAGGTATTAAATCAGTTATCTATTCAGCTATATACAAATGGGATCAATTACCTTCATGGTAAATACCGAACGGGGCAGACGCAACGTCAAGCACTTTCAAACTGATGTATTTATCACCTTGCCATACCCTTGTCGTGATCTCAGTGATACATTGGTTGTCTGGAAGACTTAACTTCTGCCGAATTCTCTGATGCAGTTCGCCAATGCTTGTGTTGTGTTGGATACGTGTCGGCCTTTTTTCACCTTCGAAGATGACACCTCGTCGACCTTCTACCTTCCTACCATTGTAATATAACACAACACGAACAAAATCAGGATTTGAGCTCATTTTTAAATAGAATAAGAAATAAAATTCAAATACTAAATTAAAGATAAAGGAAGGTTGGTGAAGAAAAGAGATATGAAGAGTGAGAGAAGACGTGTGAATTGAATGAAAGAGTGTGAAAGTATATAGAGCACACATATGATGTCACTTTTAGGCGTCACATTATTTTGATATCATAAAGAAAACAGAAACAGGTGGTTTTACACAGAATATGCAAAATTTCCATAACTTTCCTAGCTGGCCTCACCACTAAGCTTCTCTCTCTACTATATCATCTCTCTCTCTCAGTTTTTGTTGTGTTAATTTCTCTGTGATCTCACTCTCTTCCTGTCCCACATTTTCTTCTCTCTCTCTCTCTCCTTCAACTTGATTCAAAATTTTCATCTTTGTCTCTTCCACTGATTCCTCTCAACACTTCCACCTAAAACCGCTGATCACATTCACCGGAAAAGTTCACTCTTTTTTTATTTTCCGGCGAAATCAATGAGACCCAGATTCTAGTACCCCGCGGCCAATCTCGTTCGCCGGGAAAAAGTTCATTTTTTTTTGAATTTTCCGGCAAAACCAATGCGACCCAGTTTCTAGAACCTCACTGGGAGACTCTCATTCGCCGGAAAATTCACTCTTTTCTTATATTTCCGGTGAAACCAATGCCACCCAGTTTCTAAAACATCACCGTGAGAGTATCATTTGCCGGAAAAAGTTCACTGTGTTAGGATTCTCCGGCGATCCATTTTCTAGAACCTCACCGTGAGTGTATTCTCTCTTTCTCTTTCTCTCTCTCACGCCAATTCCTTTGTTCTGCAACAATGTCAATCTTCGATGGAGCTTTCATGAATACAGAGCTCTCCAAACGTACCTCAATCTTCGGTCTCCGTCTCTGGGTTGTCGTCGGAATCCTCGTCGGCATTCTCATCGTTTTCACCCTCTTCCTCCTCTCTCTCTGCCTCGTCTCTCGCCGCCACCGCCGCCGTGCCGGCGCCGGCGCCGGCAACTACAAAGTTGCCAGAGCCCCAGCTGTGCCCAAGGAAATCCAGGAGATAGTGCACCTTCCCGGACCCCACATGACCCGGCAGCCGTACACGGCGGCGACGGTGCCGGAGATTCACGTGGACATCGGCAAGGCTGAGCACCGGGTTGTGGTTCAGTGTGAAAGGGTTTCCAGTGGGGAGAGCAAGAGAACGACGGGGAGTGGGTGTGAAACGACGTCGTCTTTTGGGAGTGGAAGTGTCGTTGGGATTGGGCCTGAGGTATCACATCTCGGGTGGGGGAGATGGTACACTCTGAGGGAATTGGAGGATGCCACTGATGGGTTGTGTGAGAAAAATGTTGTTGGTGAAGGTGGTTATGGTATTGTTTATCATGGGGTGCTCACTGATGGTACCAGAGTTGCTGTCAAGAACCTCTTGAATAACAAGTATGTTTATGCTTTCAATTTTTCATTTGTTTTTACACTTGTGTTGTCTTATATGGTTTAATTTGACATCAATTTGGTGATAACGAATTAACACCACCCCTCCTTCTCAATCAGGATTTTGGAGTGTTGTTAAGAAATCTCAAGAAAAATAAACTGATTAATTGTTCTGTTGATCCCATGTTATGTTACAGTTGTATATATTTTTTTCTGTTATTTATTTGGCTCATACTTAGGTCTCTGGGAAGTTGTGAGATGAGTGTTCAAATGTTGCTTTGTTACAGATGCAAGTTCAAGCTTAGCTTTTCTTAATTTGGTTCACAGATGATGAAAAATTCATTTTATTGTATATAACCCATTGATATTGTGAATCTGGTGAAGGACAATAGCAAATGGTTTTTTTTTTTTTTTGTCGTGTTCTATTTGGTTCCAAATAAGTTTAATGAAGTTTTTGCTTGAAATATTACTTCTAAATATTTGATTGCTTCTTCCATAATTAAAATGATTAAGACATATAATTGTTCTTTATTGTGTTTCATTCTCTTTTACTTTAGCTAGTGTTTCTACTCTTTTAACTTTTTTTTGTTATCCTTGTCTTGTATTGTTAGGTGTTATCCTTTAAGTGACTCACTCGTGAAGAAAAGAATCATTTTTCTTTTCAGCTTCTTTTTGTTATTCTACTGAATTGATAATGTTGCCACTTGTCAAGAGTTTTGCATTCTCATATATTGTTGGATTTTACTGTCACTTTCTTCTTTTCTTTTCTTTTCCTTTCTTAATCACTTCATGTTGCTATCTTGTGACGGTTCCATGGTCCTGGTCTTGTATTTGTCTTTCTGTTAGAAATAAGTACTTCATGTTTAACTTATATTCAGGGGCCAAGCTGAGAAAGAATTTAAAGTAGAGGTAGACACAATTGGTCGAGTGCGACACAAAAATCTTGTTAGGTTGCTTGGATACTGTGTTGAGGGAGCCTACAGGTATTGATTATCTTTTCTTAAAAATGAATAAAAAATTAAAATAAAATTGATGCTACCAATTTTGTTTGGTTTGGATAAATGTAAAGTTTTCACAGTATGGTATTGTTCTACAGGATGCTTGTGTATGAATATGTTGACAATGGCAATCTAGAACAATGGCTGCATGGGGATGTTGGAGCTGTAAGCCCATTGACATGGGATATACGCATGAACATTATATTGGGAACTGCAAGAGGGTACCATATTTGTGATTAATCTGCATACATTGGAATCCATGTTGATGCATGAACGTTTTGATCACATTACTTTTTGTGTATCTTTTCAGATTGGCTTATCTTCATGAGGGTCTTGAACCAAAGGTTGTCCACCGAGATGTGAAATCAAGCAACATACTCCTTGATCGCCAATGGAACTCCAAAGTTTCTGATTTTGGGCTTGCTAAGCTTTTATGTTCTGAGAATAGTTACGTCACAACTCGAGTGATGGGGACATTTGGGTTAGTATGATTAAGCTAAGCATTTTCCTATTTTTCTAAACAAATCATGTCAGTTAGTCAATATTACTCCAATTTTTTGAAGGTGAAAGTATAGTGATTCTCTCCCTTTATCTTTATGTAGTTATGTTGCACCAGAGTATGCTTGCACTGGAATGCTGACTGAGAAGAGTGATGTCTATAGCTTCGGGATACTTATAATGGAGATAATTACTGGGAGAAGTCCTGTTGATTATAGTAGACCAAAAGGAGAGGTTAGAGATAGTTCATTTTACACTACTCAATGCATTCTTCTCTCTTTTTTGGGCTAACTATGCATGTTGGAATAATTACAGGTTAATTTAATAGATTGGTTGAAGACTATGGTTGGTAATAGAAAATCTGAGGAAGTAGTTGATCCTAAGCTACCTGGGATGCCATCTTCAAAGGCTCTTAAACGTGCTCTATTGATTGCTCTTCGGTGTGTTGACCCTGATGCAACAAAGAGGCCTAAAATGGGACATGTGATCCACATGCTTGAGGCAGATGACCTCTTATTCCATAATGTGTGTTCTTTTTTCTTTCCTTAAACTTTACATTGTACTTGACTGAACTAAAAGCAATCAACTTCATTCAACATTACTAAAATCTGATACTCACTTGACCTTTTTTTCTTTCCTGTCTATAGGAACGCGGAACTGGGGGAGAATCTTCCCTTTCCCATAATGATTATCAACAAGAGCATAAGGACTCAAGTTTAGATAAAAGGACAGATGAAGGGATCACTGATCAAAGTGAAGATGTTAGTAGCAAAAATCATCATCAGCCCCCCACTAGGTGGAGATGATTATAGTTTGTTAATTAAATAGAATCTATGTGCTTATTTTTTTGGTCTTTAGTAGTTTGGCAATTTTTATTTCTAGTTCAATTTAAAAATGAAAGTTGTATCTGTTTTTCTTTTTATTTCTTATTACATAATCTTTCCCGTTGTTACCAACCCCAATTGGGGATTTATATTCATGTGTATATTCTGATTTGTTATTATAAAAATAAAAAATATTGATGAGTTTCTGTGTTCAAGACAATGTTGTTATGATAAGCATTAAAAAAAAAAGTTGACACTTTTTCAAAGTGTTCACAAAATAGAATCAGTTCCCTTTGGCTCATACATTTTGGTTTTAGCAATACATCCTGGTCCCATCATAAGATGGATTATACAGCATTTTGAGTGTAATGGGTGGCCCCAGTTTAATATGCTAATTCAGCAACAGACCCACCATCCAGCTATCTTGATAAAAGCAATTAGATTGCATCAACATCATTGCCAACTCTACATAGTTTGATGCTTGTGGGAAATGGACCTTGCTGGCAGGGTAATCAATATGAAATATCAACTTTATCTGAAACTTTTTGTCCACTTGGCTTAGAGATTTCTCTATTGACCCAGCAGGCACTGAAAGCAAGGAATTGGTCATGGGTTTAGCTATTTAAGCCAATACAAACTTTGTCCATGGAAGCTCAATAGCTTGCACTATTGGAAACTTATTGTGAATGCATATCTTCAATCTTTCGTTTGTTTCTTATGACTGAGATACGCTTCTCTTGAGATAGCCAAACCACTCTCTTAAGCCTAATTATGTTCATTTCTGAACTTTTGGGCTTGACAGTATTGGCTTGGGTAACAACCCACAAAGCTAAGCGTGAGGGAAATTAGAGGGGAGAGAGAATTAAGGAGAAGAAGATAATTAGGTAGGTGATCACACCATAAGAAATTACACATGGTTGAGCCTGATCCAAATTGTTGTATTTCTCAGTATTGGAGCTTGTTATTTTCAAGAATGAATTAATGTACAATGATCCATTGGTTATGAATAAGAAGTGGGTTAATAAAGAAAAGAGAAAAAAGGGAAGATGAAGAGGTGTGTGGGTTTCAACAAGTCCCACATTGGACAATTAGTAGGAAATGGGAGAGTATATATGCTCCCACTTCCCTCTCTTAGATTGGCCCTTGGGTCACTACATGTTTTATGTAGGGGGAGAGCTAGGTGAGCATTGGTTCACTACACACGCGCGCGCCGCCGCCTCCGTCCGTCCGGCCGGCTCGGCTCGGCTCGGCTCGGTTCGGTTCAGTTCATAGTGTGTAATAAAAAAAAAATAATTTTTTATTAAATTATTTTTTAATATTTTGTCCAAAAAAATTTTACCGTTGCTTCCCTCCAACCAAAAACGTTTCTACCCGCCGGTTTTTTGAGCAGTATTGAACCGAACCGGTTCTTTCCCTTCGTGAACCAGTCACCGGTTGTGTCTGCTCGCTGAACCGGTCACCGGTCGTATCTGTTCGTCGGAACAGTCACCGGTCGCACCCGTTCGCCGCCATCAGACACGGCGGTTCGCCGCCGGCGACTGTTCATCGTGACCGGTCAGTGTCTATAAATAGACAAGTGTCTATAAATAGACACTGACACCTTCAGAAATCTATCCAGTTTTTTCTGCACTTAAACTCTGCCGGAATTTTTCTTCTTCCGGTTTTGCATACTGTTGTTCATCCTCCGGTGTGACTTCCTCTGGCATTTTGTTGTGTTCGTTTGGGCTGTTGATTGGTAGTGCCACCATTCTTCAGACGAAATCCGTTCTATCCTGGGAGACAAGTGTCCATCAACCTTAGGCATCAGTGAGGGGGCAAATTGTCTTAAGGAGACACGTTCTGTGGGCTCGGATTTAATTCCTCTTATACTGCATATATTCATCCTTTCATTCTGTCTGTTTCATCATTCTGCCACTGACAAGTAAGTCTGTTTTTAATATTTTTAATTACACAGTGATAATCCTGATCATCTACCTCCTCTGCTTTATACATGGGTTCAAATCTATTAGTGATATAATATCACCCACTGTCTTCAATAACAATCTTAAGACAATTTGGTGTTTTTTGAACATGTGATCAGTATTTATTTTTCGTTATATATACTGTTTCTGTTTTATTTATTGTGTGATAAATTAATCTGTGTGATTAATTTCGGATTCTGTTTGTGTAACAGAAATGGCTAATGTAAGTACTAGCAATGCCAATGTTACTGCCTCTGTTCCAATGCATGCTGACAAGCCTGAAAAACTGAATGGAACAAATTTCAAACGCTGGCAACAGAAGATGTTGTTCTATTTGACAACTCTGAGTCTAGACCGTTTCCTCAAGGAAGATGCTCCTAAACTGAAAGAGGGAGAAGAGTCTGACAAGGAAAAGGTTGCTGCCATTGATGCTTTTAAGCATTCTGACTTCCTTTGCAGGAACTATATTCTCAATGCTCTAGACAACTCACTGTATAATGTGTACTGTACCCTGAAGACTAGTAAGGAACTTTGGGAAAGTCTGGACAAGAAGTATAAAACTGAGGATGCTGCCTTGAAAAAATTCATAGTTGGCAGATTCTTGGACTTCAAGATGGTAGACTCCAAATCTGTTGTGAGTCAAGTTGAGGAACTTCAAGTGATTGTGCATGAAATTCATGCAGAAGGAATGTCTCTTAGTGAGTCTTTTCAAGTTGCTGCTTTCATAGAGAAATTACCAAACTCTTGGAGAGACTTCAAGAATTATCTGAAGCATAAGCGCAAGGAATTGACACTTGAAGATCTGGTTACCAGATTGAGAATAGAAGAAGACAATAAGATGTCTGACAAGAGGAATGGCAACAATCCTATGATCTCCAAAGCTAATGTAGTTGAAGAGGGATCAAAGTCAAAGAAGAGGAAATATTCTGAAGATGGAAATGCTAAGCAAGGAAAGGGCAAAAAGTTCAAAGGCAACTGTTTCAATTGTGGGAATCCTGGCCACCGTGCAAAGGATTGTAAGAAGGAACAAAGGAAAGATCAGAGGAAGCCACAAAAGTTCAATAAGAAGAAGAAGAGCACTCAAGCCAATATGGTTGATATTGCTGATCAGGTTGAAGAACTGAATCTGGCAGCAGTGGTGATGGAGTGCAATCTGATGGGAGACTCCAACGAATGGTGGGTGGACACTGGTGCCACCAGACATGTCTGTTCAAACAAGGGGATGTTCTCCTCCTATACTCCTACTGATAATGATGAGAAACTTTATATGGGTAATTCATCTACTTCAAAAGTTGAAGGAGTGGGCAAAGTGGCTTTGAAAATGACATCTGGCAAGATAGTGACACTGAATGATGTGCTCCATGTGCCTGATATTCGCAAGAACTTAGTCTCTGGATCTCTGTTAAGCAAGAATGGCTTTAAACTTGTATTTGTTTCTGATAAGTTTGTACTTACTAAGAATGATGTGTATGTAGGAAAGGGCTACATTAGTGGGGGCCTTTTCAAACTGAATGTGATGACTGTAAACAACTCCAATATTATTAATAATACTACTACTTCTGTCTACTTGCTTGAGTCTTCTAATTTATGGCATAGTAGATTAGGACATGTTAATCTAAAGTCCATTAAGAGTTTAATACATTTAGATTTATTACCTAAATTTGAATGTTTAAATAATAAGTGCCAAGTATGTGTTGAATCAAAATTTTCGAAATTACCTTTTAAATCAGTTGAAAGATCAACCGAGTTGTTAGATTTAATACATACTGATATATGTGACATGAAATCTACACCATCTAGGGGTAATAAGAAATATTTTATTACATTTATTGATGATTGCAGTAGATATTGTTATGTGTACTTACTCAATAGTAAAGATGAAGCTATTGTTGCTTTTAAGCAATATAAAAGTGAAGTTGAGAATCAACTCAACAAGAAAATTAAAATGGTAAGGAGCGATCGTGGGGGAGAATATGATGGCCCTTGAATTCTGTATAGAGTCTGGTATTATACACCAGACAACAGCTCCTTATTCACCGCAATCAAATGGGATTGCAGAAAGGAAAAATCGGACACTGAAAGAGATGATGAATGCTATGTTAATTACGTCCGGTTCACCACAGAATTTGTGGGGGGAAGCCATGTTGACGGCTAATTATATTACTAATAGAATGCCCCACAAAAAGATAAAAAGCATACCATATGATATATGGAAAGGAAAGAAGCCATCCCTGAAATACTTTAGAGTGTGGGGGTGTTTGGGGAACTGGTATCAATAGTGAGATTCCTCACAAGTCCGTGTTCAAAAGAAAAATGAAAGAGAATGGCACTATTGATAAATATAAAGCAAGGCTTGTGGTAAAAGGCTACAGGCAACGTGAAGGTTTCGATTACTTCGATACTTATTCACCCGTTACAAGGATCACATCCATCAGGATGTTGATCGCGGTAGCTGCATTGAATGGATTAGAAATACATCAAATGGATGTGAAAACTGCCTTTTTAAACGGCGACCTGGACGAAGAGATATATTTAGAACAACCTGAAGGTTTTGTTGTTCCAGGACAAGAACGGAAAGTTTGTCGCTTAATAAAATCCCTTTACGGGTTAAAGCAAGCTCCAAAACAATGGCATGAAAAATTTGACAAAGTTATGTTATCAAATGGTTTTCGAATTAATGAATGTGACAAATGTGTCTATGTTCGGAATACTGAAAAAGGTTTTGCCATTGTCT